GATGATGATGGGGGAAGTGGAGACTCGAGCTCCAACAGGGTGAGAGATGGCACAGCCCATCAAGACAGAGGAAGAGGAGGGTGGTGCTAAAACTCTGCAGCCCAATCAGAGGCCCCTTTTACTGGTGGGTAGAACCTGTGCTGACTGAGCTCGCAGAGGCTCTCAGTGCCCCATTGACCATCTAGAGAGGGTTTGAAGAGATGTGAGCACATCAAAACCCAGCCCACCGAAAGGCTGTGAGTTTGGGGGGAGGGTGACACAGCCATAGGGAAGGGCCAGTTGGCACTCACTTTGGCATTGATGAAAGTGAGATACATAGCTTTAGTTGGGCTCTGGCCAGTACGTTGAGTGGTTAGAGCATCGTGGGTTGCAAGTTTGATCCCCTGTGCCGTCAGGGTGGGTGCAGGAAGCAACCAGTAGATGTGTCTTTCTCGCATAGATGTTTCTCCTCTTCTCTCCCTTCCTTCTCTAAAAATATCAACGGAAAATATATATATCCTCCGGTGAGGATTAAGAATAACAACAACAACAAATAGCTTCAGTTGGGTAGATCCGGGCCATATTAAGTTATCTAGATCGAATCAACACGTGTTTTAGCTGAACGGGCCTTGCAAACGGAATTCTCCAATCAGTAGATGGAGTGAGCCAGGCAGCAGAGGGAAGCCAGTGGGGCTTGGCTGGGTGGAAATCTTTAAAGGGATCGACCAATCAGCAAGTGGCCGAGAAGTTTGACCAATAGGCAGAATACATGGTCGAGAGTGGGTGTAGCCCTGAGCTGGGATGGCCAATCAGTGTTTTACTAGCGGGGGATTGGGGCGGGGGGGGGGGTGGCGGCCTGGATCTGGGCTGCACCTCAACTTGCATTTGGCCTGTGGGCCAGGGAGAAGACCTGGACGAAAAGAGAGAGGAGTCGGAGTCCACAGAGAGGAATTTCCCAGGGCTGGCTGACGAGAAGATGTCCGAGGCCCTGGAAAGCGAGGGCGGCGGGGGCTTCGACAGTGCGCGGAGCTCGCCCCTCTCGTCTCTCCTCGCCCCAGACCCGCGGCTCATCGCGGACTTGGAAGAATATGTGTTGCGGCCGGCGGTGCGCGGCTGCACGATGCAGTGTTGCATCAGCCGCGACAAGCGTGGCATCGACAAGGGCATGTTCCCTTTCTACTACCTCTACTTGGAGGCGATCAACGGCCACAGCCGGAAGGTGCCGTCTGGCGGCGGGGGCCAGCCCCCACCTCTCAGAGGCTTGACTTTCACGAACCCAGGCCTTGCTCATCACTGAGCTAGGACCTGTCCACCCCAACTCCAAAACGTCACAGAACCGAGCTCCTTAGAGCCCAGTGGCAAAGGCCCTGCCCGTCCCACAGCCGAGGACCTGCCCCCTGTGGAGCTGGGCCCGGCTTTTTCAAACTCAGGCCACGCCCTACCGGGGTCCAAAACCTCACCCTTACATACCCTCCAGAACCCATCTTTGTAGGTCCGAGTCTGGCCGCTTCACGGTGCCGCCTTTGCTATAAGGCCCCGCCCAAGCCCCTCCCTTGGTGGATTGTTTACTATCCAGAGCCAAGCCACGCCCCTCTCGGCCTAGCCACGCCCATCTCAGCCTAGCCACGCCCCTCTCTTTGTGGCTGCCCCTCAAGGCACTCTCTCTCCCAGAAAGGGCTTTTCCTACCCAGAGCCAGATCCACTTTTCCAGGATGCAACACCTACTGAAGACCTGGTGCAACGTTCAAAGGGAGGCTCTTCCCTGTCGTCCAGAGTCAGGCCTGCTAGTCAGGTTCTCTCCTGCCTGGGCTCTCCCTGAAGGGGAGACATTCAGATGTGTAGCTCCCCTTCAGGACCCAGCCGGTGACTTCCTTCAATGGGAACTGCACCTCCCAGCAAGCCCGGGACGCTTATTGCCCCGTCACCCTTCCCTCTGTCCCACCCCCCGCGACATAACGTTTCCTTGTCTTTAGACCCCTAGCCCTCGTCCAATCCCCGAAATCGAATCTGATGGGCTGTTCTTTGATCCACAGCACTTCCTTCTCGCTGGGCGCAAGAGAAAAATGAGCACAACCTCTAATTATCTAATTTCCCTGGACCCCACAGACCTGTCTCGGGATGGGCAGAGCTTTGTGGGCAAAGTCAGGTAGGCAGAGCCCTGATGTGTGTGAGAAACAGATGGCAGGTGACAGGGCACCCGGGGGAAGAAGGGGAGAATTGAACTACATTTCCCAACAGGCCATAGGGCACAAGGCCTACCTGCTCTAGGAAGGACCTTTTCTCGTAGGGACTGGTGGGCTCTGGAGTTCTTCAGGTTGTAGCCCCAGGGTGGTTAGAAATAGAACTGGAGGTTTTGGAGCACAGGCTGGCCTTTAAGACATTTGACTTCTTGAAAGGCAAGGGGCTGGGACTCCTACGTTCCTGAGTAGGAGTTTCCTCTAATACTAACCAACAGGTATTAGAGGGAAGAGGGTTCCTAAAGGGCGGAGGCAGGAAATGATAAATTATGGATCGCAGGGCTGGGACTGTGGCTACATGGAAATGAGTCTTCCGTAGTAGAGGACTGATGGGAAGAATTGATAAGATGTCATGGGAAAGCAGTTAACGTACAGCAGAACGGTAACGATTATTATTTTATTCTGGCCACCGCCTTCCTGGAGTAGATCTAATGTCTTGGGCACCAAATTCACCATTTTCGACAATGGGGTGAATCCTGAAAAAAAGTATTTCATCCCTGACACTGGCCGGATCAGGGAGGAGCTGGGCGTTGTGTGTTACGTAAGTATCCCGGAGACTAGAGAGTGAATGGAGCAGATGGTGGGGAGGGAGAGAGAGCCAGGCCAACTGGATGATGATACCCTAGGACACCAACGTCCTGGGATTCCGAGGACCCCGGAAAATGTCTGTGATCATTCCAGGAATTGATGGCCAGAACAAGAGAATCAGCGTCCAGCCACAAAATGTGAGTTGGCTGAGGTTGAGAATCTCTGGGTCGATAGGGGAGGAAGGGCTATGACACAGGCCCTAGGTCCTAAGGGAGCAAGTCACATGTGCAGCTGGGAGGATCTTGTCAGATTTATGTGTCTCAGGGAGGGGAGGCTAAAAACTCAAAATTGTGTGTCCGGAGGAAAAAAAAAAGCCTAGTTTGTGGTAGGTTAACCACGCCCCCTGCTTTGCCCTCTAGGAGCGGGACTGCCTTATGAGTCGCATCCAACGGGGGGCCAACCAGGGGCTGGTCCTCCTGCAAAACAAAGCCCCATCGTGGAGCTACGAGACTGGCGCCTACGTGCTGAATTTTCACGGTCGAGTCACTCAGGCCTCGGTCAAGAACTTCCAGATTGTGTATCCGGATGACCGTGAGCTCCTAGGAACCCGGCTGGGGGTCGGGGGTGGAGGGAACGGGGCTACCAACCGCCAAGAACTACTACTCCCATCAACACTTCAGGTTTTCTCTCAGCAAGGCCCACGCCACGCTGTTGCAAAGCCTCTTGGGAACTGTAGTTTATGCGGCCCTCATAGGTTTTCCGGGCAAAGTAAGGGCGCCTTACAGCCTTAGTTTTCTCAGCTCATAGGGCCCGGGCAGGGTAAGAGTCTGACTAGGTTTCTAACTTGCTCCTCAGCCGACTACTTGGTGCTTCAGTTCGGCCGCGTGGCCCCGGACATGTTCACCATGGACTTCTGCTTCCCTCTTTGCCCACTTCAAGCCTTTGCTATCTGCTTGTCCAGTTTCGATGGGAAACTGGCGTGTGAGTAACCCAATAAAATATAATACTCTCCACAGCGCCTGTGCCTGCTCATTTGGAGAACGGCCTCCAGCATGCCTTCTTTTGCACCACCTTACTGACAACCAACACGTATTGGACGTGTTCTGGGTTCTAGGGAGTGGGCTGTTGAGCAGCACCTGCTCTGGTGGCACCCAGTGCATCATGGGAGACAGGGTCTTAACAAAAAACCAAACCACTCCTCCGCTACGAAGGAGAAAAGCACATGGAGGCACAAGTCAGCGGGCTCAAAGCAAGGCATCTAAAAGTTTTCATACACCTAGAGAAGCACAAGGAACTAGCCGATTCACCAGGGGTCAGGAATGGGAACATGGGATAGTAGGCAGAGCTCATGCAACGATCGTAGCTTGGGAAAATGAAAGGCTAGTGTGGTAGGAGCCTGGGGAACCAATCGAGGACGGGGAGCGGGAGGCTGGACAGGGTGCCCTTGCTGGACAGATCTTACCAGATCAGAAGAAAGTTCTAAGCTGGAGACATAAACTTGGGTGGAGACATGCATGGGTGAGGGAGAATAATTACAATACCCGATAACACATTTAACTGACAAGCATTTTTTTTAATATCTTTGATTTCAGAGAGGAACGGAGAGGGAGAGAAACATCAATGATGAGAATCATTGATAGGCTGCCTCCTGCACTGCCCCCCCACTGGGGACCAAGCCTGCATCCTGGGCATGTGCCCTGATGGGGAATCGAACAGTGACCTGGTTTATAGGTCAACACTCAACCACTGGGCTGGCTGGGCAACAAGCATTACTTTAAACACAAACTCCTTTGGGGCCTTTGCAATCCCCTGAGGTATATACAGTTGTTTGCCATGTTTTACAGATAAGGAAACTGAGGCAACGGGCACAGGGCTTGTAAATGTTAAATCGGGGCAGTTGAAAAACCTTAAGGAACTCACCATGTGAAGGCCAGGAGGAGGATGTTTGTATATTCCAGGGAGATGCAGAAAACTGGAGCTTAACCCTTCGTCAGAACCAGTGAGTCTAGCTCCCAGCCCCCTTTGAGGAGATAACTGTCCCAAGTCTAATAAAATTTAGGTGGAAGCCAAAGAAAAACTACAAAACTCACCCGCCCTTTGTTCAAAAGAAGCCTCAGGAGAAGAGGCAAATTTGAGGGATGATGGGAAATGTAGTTTATCCTCTATTAAGGCACCGCCTCTTTCCTATTCCCCACAACTACTTCCAGGACCCAGGAGAGGCAGATACTGTCAGTTCATATACACAAGGTGACATTGCTCAGTACAAACTAAAAGACTTTATTTCTTAAACCAACTGGTAAAAAAATAAATAGTGAATAACACAAAAACCACAGGATCCTAGCCACGCCTCCCACTGAGGTCTAAGGCAGGAGACACGGACACATAAAGAGGGGAGGGAGAGGCCACAGTATGGCTCAAGAGTGTGGCCTGGACACAGGATGTGGGCAAGGTGTGGGTCATGGCAGGTATGGCAGCCAGAGAAGAGGGAGGGTCCCCGAGGCGTGCCCAGGCCCTGGCCCGAGCAGCAGGGGTGAGGCAGGGGCCCAGTTTCTCCTCAGCCTGGGCAATTCGGCGGGCAAAGCGGCTTCGATCCCGGGCAAACTGCTCCCAGGGGCCCCTTCGGGCAGCCTGGGCTGGTCCAGCCCAGACAATCAGGAAATGGATGGAGACCTTCTCAGAGAAGTGCACCTGGAGACAGACCGGCACAGACATACAGACACAGGATACACACGGCCACAGGGGGGAGAGGGAAGAGAGAACCAGACAAAAATTACACAAATGCTTGCTATCTGTCTAGTCACCTGCCTGCCACCAAATTCTCCATCTGACTCACTGAAGAAGGGGGTGGTTCTCTGGGGCTGACAAAGTACCACAGCTGCTCCCAGGGAGCCCAGCCTCTTGCAAAGGATTGCATGACAATGAGCACAGCCCTCCCAGTGGAGTTCACATGCAACCCTCTGTAACACACAGGGGACGAGTCCCAGCTCCCCCCTCCCTAACACTCAGGAATCCCAGGTGCTCTCCCTCCCGGGGCACGCCCACGCCTCTCAGCTAATCCTGGGCTAACCCCCCAGCGCCCCCCAACCTGTCTCTAGCCCCCTTTTCTCATACTTTCTAGTGAGCCAAAGCAGCCCTGCGGAGGCGCGCTCCCTCCTGTTTCTTCTGTCCTAAGCCCTTGTTTTACTGTCCCCAGCTTTAAAAAATAAGGAAATCAGAGCCCTCAGCACCAACCTTTCTGGCCTTTTGGGGAGTCTCGGGGTCCGGATGCCGGGTGGGGGTTCCTGCAGACTTGAGCCGCCTTTGCAGTCGGAGGGGCAGGCGAGGAAGAGGCCAGGGAGGTGGTGGCTTCTCTCCTGGTAGATAGATGGCCACTCGGAAGGGTTCAGCTTCTCCCCATTCAGCAGCTTCCACTCCCTCTGTCTCCTCTCCAGGTGGGTATGTCCAGTCCCTGAGGAGGGCACTCTGGGCCTGAAGGGAAGAACTTGGGTCCGAGCCAGCTGTCTCTGAATCATCTTCCTCCTCTGTGTCTTCTTCTGGCCGGTACACCCAGGCCCTCAAGAAGGTACTTGTGGGGGGAATGGAAGAGGGACCCTCAGCTTCTCCCTCCTCCTCAGCTGCTCCTGAATCACTATCTTCATCTTCCTCCTCTGTGTCCTCTCCTGGTTGGTACACCCAGGCCCTCAAGAAGGTACTTGTGGGGGAGATGGAAGAGGGACCCTCAGCTTCTCCCTCCTCCTCAGCTGCTCCTGAATCACTATCTTCATCTTCCTCCTCTGTGTCCTCTCCTGGTCGGTACACCCAGGCCCTCAAGAAGGTACTTGTGGGGGGGATGGAAGAGGGACCCTCAGCTTCTCCCTCCTCCTCAGATACTCCTGAATCACTGTCCTCATCTTCCTCCTCTGTGTCCTCTCCTGGTTGGTACACCCAGGCCCTCAAGAAGGTACTTGTGGGGGGGATGGAAGAGGGACCCTCAGCTTCTCCCTCCTCCTCAGATGCTCCTGAATCACTGTCTTCATCTTCCTCCTCTGTGTCCTCTCCTGGTCGGTACACCCAGGCCCTCAAGAAGGTACTTGTGGGGGGGGATGGAAGAGGGACCCTCAGCTTCTCCCTCCTCCTCAGATGCTCCTGAATCACTGTCTTCATCTTCCTCCTCTGTGTCCTCTCCTGGCCAACACACCCAGGCCTTCATGAAAGCGCTTGTGGTGGGGATGGCCGACAGACCCTCAGCTTCCCCTGAAGCGTTGTCCTCCTCCTCTTCCTCTGTGATCTTCTTGGGTTGGTGCTGCCAGGTCCTGAGCAGGGGCCTGTGGCTTAGAACTGAGGAGTGTGGCTCTGGGTCGGCTTCTTTCTCAGCCTTCCCATCCTTTTCCTCAGATTCCTCCCCTGAATTACACTCCCAGGCGCTGGGGCGGGAGCCTGCAGATGAAGAAGTAATGGAGGTCTTCCCGGTGTCTTCACTCTCTGCTCTTCCTTCCTCCTTAGCTCCAGCCTCTTCTTCCCCGGCAGCACACACCCAAGCACTGGGCTTGGATCCTGGGGATGAGGGGGGAGTAGATGTTGTGGGAACTTTGTTTACAGCTTCTCCCTCCTCCTCCTCCTCCCTCCCTGGACAGTGCTCCCAGTGTGATGGAGGGAAAGAGAAGAATGTCATCACTTTATCTTCGGCAACTCCTCCTTCCTCAGTTTCCTCTTCCGCAGGAGGGCCTTGCAGGGTCCTCAGAAGGCTGACGGACATGGGAGCAGGCTGGCCACCGATATAGTCACTTCCTTGCTCTTTAGGGATGCTGGTTGCTTCTTCCCCACCATGTTCTTCATCATCATCTGAAAGTCCCCAGGCTTCAGGAAGAGAACTGTTGGCCTCTCGGTCAGGGCAGGACGACCCGCCATCTTCCACAGCTCTTCCACTGTCTCCAGGCTCCCGCTGAGGGTGCCCACCCCATGGGGCATAGTGGGTGGCCAAAGCAGCCTTAGTCACTTCCTCCAGGCAAGCTTCTCCCTGATCTGCACTCGTTACTGCGTCCTCCAGCCAGGGCTTTAGAGGTCCTGGGCCCCTCAGCCGGCTCCAGGCCCTGCTGAGAAGGCCCATCAGCGGGGACAGGAGGAAGAAGGGGTGGGCATCCCTCCAGGGGAGGGGCTGGGGCACTTGGCCTGGAGCCATCTGTCTGGGCTGGGGAAAAGGGAGGAAGAAGCCATTTAGGAAACAGCATCAGGGGATGACCTTGAGTCAGCAACGGAAACACTAACACAAATAGCAACATGAGTCCCTGCCAACATTCCTTTCCGATTACCAGCCACTCCCATCTCTGTCCATAGGTTCCTGCCTCTCTTTCCTTTCAATACCGAGGAGTCGGGGTCCCCATTCCCTCCTTCCTTAGACCCAAAAGTCCAAGGCCCCATTTTCCCTCAGGCCCACAAGTCCCAGGCCCAAGTAGGGAGAACACAGGTCCTCTATTAGTTCCCCTTTGGGATAAAGTCCTGGTCTTTGGTTCTGACAAGCCAGGCCCCCCAACACCCGCCTCCCTTGGAGACTCAAAAATTCCGACCCCGGACCTCCCCACCCCCGTCTGTAATACTCTCAACAATAAAGATAAACATTTAAAAAATAACAAAACAAGGCCACCAGAGGCACAGAGGCACACAGACAGAGGGAAGATGGCCATGTGACAACGGAGGCAGCGCTAGGAGCCAAGGAATTCCAAGAACTGACAACAAACACCAGAAAATAAGCAGCAAGGAAGAATTCTGTCTTAGGGCCTTCAGAGGGAGCGTGGCCCTGCTGCCATCTTTTTTTTTTTTTGTCTTTCCTGCTGCCATCTTTACTGCAGACTTCTAGCCTCCAGAACTGAGGGCGAATAAATTTGTTTTAAGCAAAAAAATAATAACTAAAAAAAAAAAATTCCGGCCTCCTCAGCCCCCTGGTTCCTCACTGGGGACCGAGTCTGGCTCCTAGACCTTCCCCCGTCGGTCTCAGCACTCCACGCTCCCAGCCCCTCTACTCACGTCGGAGCCCGGGGGCCTGGCCCCGCCCCGCCGCCCCCACCGGACACAGGAAGTCCGGTTCCCAGGCCTCTTCCTCAGGGCCCAGGAGTCCCGGCCCCCCACATTCCTGTCTCCTTACCCAGAAGTCCAAGCTCCCTCCTCCTCAACGACCGAAAGTCTGAGCCCTCGCCCCCCGCCCGCGGAGACCCGTGCGTTCCGGTCCCTCGTCCCTCACTCACCGGGTGCGGGCTGCGCGTCACCTCGGGGGCAAAAGCGCCGGCTTGGGCTGCCAGGAGCATTCGCGGGTCCGGACGGCTCGGGAGGCCAGCGCTTTCATCTCGCCCTGCGGCGTCGGGCTGGGCGCTCAAACTGTCTCCGGTCGCTGCAAGCGCGGTCGCGACAAACGGGCGCGGGGTCTCGCGGAGCGGCGGGGTCTCGCGGAGCGGCGCATGAAATCAACAACTGAGCTGGGAACGGAGCCAATGAGCGCGCGCCACCGCCCGCGAGGCTTCTTTATAGTCTTACACCGCCGGACGTGCTGACGTCTCGAAAAGGGGCGGGGCTTCGAAACGAAAAAAAAAGCAGAGAAACGGGAAGGGAAAGAAGGCTGGAATTCTCGCGGGGATTCCGGGCTTTGTGTCGTCACCGCGGCATTTTAAGCGTGACCACGCCCCGACACAAGCCAGCTGTCAATCAAATGCGTCATGGGCTCTAGCCGTGAGGGAGTTCTCTGACCCCAATTGAACCCGCAAGGCCCCCGTCTAGAGTCGCAACCGGTATGGGAGAGTATTCTTGTTTTTTTGTTTGTTTGTAATATATTTTTTATTGATTTCAGAGAGGAAAGGAGAGGGGGGGGGGGGAGAGAGAGAGATAGAAACATCAATGATGAGAGAGAATCATTGATCGGCTGCCTCCTGTACGGCCCCCACTGGGGATCAGTCCGCAACCCAGGCATGTGCCCTTGACTGGAATTGAACCTGGGACCCTTCAGTCCGTAGGCCAACGCTTTAGCCACTGCTCCAAACCAGCTAGGGCTAGGACAGTATTCTTGTTTTTAATTTCACAGATGGAGAAACTGAGTCTTGGGAATGGAGTGCGCCTGCCCAAGGTGGCCACAGCAGAGTGTAGACTCGCAGCAAATGGAAACTAGAATGCAAACATCCTGAAGGCAGATCCTTTATTTTGCTCACTGCTTTCTTCTCAGTGCCTGGCACATAGCAGGTACTCAACCAATACTGAGTGAGTGGACACCCCTTCCCGGTTTCATGCACAAGGCTCCATGCCTGGATTTCACCCGCTTCAAAAATCATCCAAGAGCTCTGATTACACAAACTGAAATTCTGGTTGGGTGGCATCGAATGAACCTGATGGGAGCGGAGGTCTTCTGCCAAAAGTTCCAGGCCTAGGGCCTGCCAGTGGTCGGCAAACTTGCGGCTCGGCAAACCGCAGCTCAGGAGCCACATGCGGCTCACGAGCCACGGTTTGCCGACCACCAGCCTAGCCCAATCCCCCTGGGAGGTGAGTAAGCCAGGACAAGCAGAATAGGGAAACCGAGGCACTCAAATAGCAGCCACCTGGTAAATCCTATCTTCCCTAAACCAAGGACACTTCAAAGAATAAGTGGGGCCCTAACCAGTTTGGCCTACAGACTGAAGGGTCCCAGGTTCGATTCTTGTCAAGGGCATGGACCTTGGTTGCAGGCACATCCCCAGTAGGGGGTGTGCAGGAGGCAGCTGATCAATGTTTCTAACTCTCTATCCCTTTCCCTTCTTTTCTGTAAAAAATCAATAAAATATATTAAAAGAAAAAGAGAGTAGGTGGGACAGGCAGAAATCCAATCAGTGCCATTTGCCAACCACACCCAAAGACAGATGAGATCAAGATAATAAACCTGCTGTACCAACAGCAGCATAAAGCTGATGATTATTCTATTGGAATCCTCCCCTAAGTCCCCCTCTAAACACCCAGCCTTTAAAGCCCCTCGAAACAAAGGTTCCGATACTGCCAGAGCCAACCCGTGGCTGAAATGCCGGCTTGGAGAGAGGCACGTGTTTCCGACCGACCTGCTCTCATCGGCACCGCTTATGCACCCGGCAGCTCATGCAGTCTGTGGCATAAGCATTTCATTGGCTCATCTGCTCCAGTTAGAATTGTTAACCCCACCCGCAAACTGCGTTTCCCCCGTTTTCTCTTTCATAATTCATAGCAAAACTTATATTAAAGGTCAAGTACCGTTTCCGGAGTGAAGGGGAATTACCACAGCAGCACGGCGAAGGTGCTAGAGAGCTTACACGTATCCTGTGTGGACTTTCCAGTCTGAACAGCAACACGAGGTGTCTTCTGGTTAAGAGTTTAGTATTGTTGCTGGGAGCAGTCAACTGAGTAAACATGACGGAGGTTCCACAGAAGGGTCACCCCTAGACTTAGGGGCCACATTGTGTTTTGTGGGATAAAATGTTGGTGGAAACAAAGACGCCTCCCGACAGATGTTGGGGTGATGTCACATGGGAGCAACTAGTACCGTTGGGGGCAGCGGGAAGGGCACAGGTGTTAGACCTCTGGGGTCAGGCCATACTTGGGTTCAGCGACCTTGGTTCTTGGGTTCTGGCTATGAAAGAATTTAGAGCCAAGACTCAAACTATAAGAGAATATTTATTTATAAAATCATGGAGGTGGCCCTAGCCGGTTTTGCTCAGTGGGTAGAGCGTTGGCCTGCGAACTGAAAGGTCTCAGGTTCGATTCCGGTCAAGGGCACATGCCCGGGTTGTGGGCTCGATCCCCAGTGGGGGCGTGCAGGAGGCAGCCGATCCACCATGATTCTCTCTCATCATGGATGTTTCTATCTCTCTCTCCTTCTTCCTTCCTCTCTGAAATCAATACAAATATATTTTTTAAAAATCATGAAGGTAGAAGAAGTAATTCGTAGAAGAAATAGGCTTAGGAGACAAGTTGTAGAGGTAAAGGAAGGGTCCTTGGAGCTTAGAAGTGAGAAAGATAAAGTTGACACCCTGGGTATCGGGGTGGGGGAGGCAAAGGAGTGCTCCTAGGAGGGAGAGCTCTCGGGGTCCTCTGTCCTAAGGGTTTTAAGGGTGGAGATTTTATGGGAGGTATCGGGGAAAAACACACACACATACAAAAACAAAGGTCCTAGCAAGTGCTCTCCTCCCAGGAGCACCCCCTCGCCTTCCCCTCCCACCCCTTCTCCCCGCACAGGCCTGCATCCCCTAAACTCTAAGGGACCCCATAAGACTTGCAACCAGAGCAGCAATGGGCAGTGGCAGCTCATCCTGGGCCAACACCCTGACCCTGTCCCCCAAACCCCCCTTTCTCTGACTTCTTAGTGAGCCAGAGCAGCCCAGCCCAGCTCATTTCCCCAGCCCTCCCGTGTTTCACTGTCCCCAGCTTCAACAAAAAGCATCTAAAATTCACCTGGCTTCCTGTTGTGAATTTTTTCCTGCAGGAAGTCAAAAACCCACACACTACTGCCGGTCCTAGGCAGACCCTCACAGGGCCAGGTCGCCTTCCTGGTAACACCCCCCCCCCCACTTGGTCCATCATTTTCCTCCTCAAAATATGCCCAGGGACCACGTCTCCCTCCTGAGGGGGTCAGTCTTAGCCTGGAGCAGAATTCTCACCTGGATCTGAGGTGGATCTCTGACCCGCTACAGCCAGAATCAACTTGACCCTGCTAGAGCCGGAATCCAGGACTTCAAGGCCACGCCCTCCTCCCAGGAGGACCAGGACCCACCCTCAGAGCCACACTTCCTGACCCAGGCTCCACTCACAACTCAGGAGTCCTGAGTCCTAGCTCACACCTTCCCAGATACCCAGGGCTCTGAAACACCACCCCTCCCAAGAGCTGAGCCATCTCCACTCTGGGTACCCCGTATCTCAGGCCCCTGACCCCCAACCAGCCCGTGGAGATCCTGGCCTTGAGCTGAGCCTACTCTCCAAACACTTGGGACGGCCAGCCTCAGCCCTGAGGGGACCCGGGCTCTCCAGGCCCCAGCCCAGCAGGGAGCCAGGAGTCAGGGGTGGCCCAGCTCCTCCCCTCAGCTGTGGGGGCAGCTGAGCCAGGGGTCAGGCTGTGGTGGGGAGGCCAAGAGGGGCGGGGTCAGCGGGGACTGGGAGGGGAGACAGCAGCGTGGGCGGCTGGAGGGAGGGAAAGACCAGCAGAGAGAAGGAAACTGGGAGAGGGAAGAAGAGAAAGTGAAAAGGAGAAGCAGGGAGAGAAGGAACCAGCAGAAGTGGAGGGCTAGAGAGAGAGAGAGAGAGAGAGAGAGAGAGAGAGAAAGAGGGAGAGATTGAATGGGAGGGGGAGAGAGAGACTTGGGCTAGACAGGGAGGGAGAGAGGGAAAGAACAAGATAGAGACTTAAGGAAGAGACCGGAGTCCCAGAGGAAAAGATTTAAGACGGAAACAGAAACAAGGATTGGGAGAGAAAGTGATATGGGTGTGTGTGTGTGTGAGGGACGGAGGGAAGGAGAGAGAAGTGAGTAAGAGAGACTGGAAGAGACAGAGATTAGAGAGGGAGAGAGACAGGGGTGAGACGGGGAGACAGGGACAGTCTGAAAGAAAGGGAGAGCGAGAAGAAGGGGCCATAACAGACACAGAGTGTGAGAGAGCCGAGAAGTGAGACAGGCCCGTGAGGGGCAGCACCTGACGGGCACTGGACGGAGCACCCACACCGCCCTCCTGCCCCCTGTCCTTGGGACCCAGAGCTGGTAAGTTAGTTCCCTGGCTGGGCTGAAAGGGGTGCACATTCCTGGTGCCCCAGGGCTTGGCAGGGATGGTTTGGGGTGCGTGTGGGAGGGGCGAAAGCGTGCAGGAGACAGTAGCTGGAGGGAGCCGGAATGAGGGGGTCCCTACGCACAGAGAGCGGAGAGGGTCAAATTCCTGGCCATTGTGCGGGGGTGGGGGCTGGGGGTAGGGGGTGCCAAGAATAAAGGAGCCCCTATTCTCTGTCTTGGGCCACAGACAGCTGCCCCCTCCCCGCAGCTGCCAGTGCCGCCCACCTCTCTTGGCATCACCCTCGGTATGCGGGCCCAGGCCGGCCTCGCCCAGCCCCCCGGTCCCCAAACAACGGGCTCTTTCTCCGCAGCCTCCTCCGACCTGCGAGCCCCTGACCTCGGCTCTGTCCCCAGCCGGGTCAGCTGCAGGGACGCGCACACAGTCCCTTTCTTTCTCGCCCTCGATGGAGGAGGGCCGGCCTCGGAGCAGCCTCAGCCTGGCCAGCAGCGCCTCTACCATCTCCTCGCTCAGCAGCCTGAGCGCCAAGGTGGGAGCCTCCTGGTGGGGCTGGGGAGGAGGGCGGGGCTCGGGCTGCCCCCTCCTCCCGTTTCCTAGCCCTGGGTGGGGGCCACCCCAGGGACTCCGGTTGTCAAGAGCCAAGATCCTTAGCAACAGGGTCTGCCCGGCCTAGTGAGGGCCCCTGAACTGACCACCCGCTGCAGCTAGGAATTCCGACGCACTTCCAGCCGTCCCCACCCCTTGCATTTTCCTGGTTCAAAGCCAGAGGCACCACCGGATCGAGTCTGGCTGCTAAGACAGGCCACGCCCCAGCCACGAGCCACGCCCCCCCGGAGCTCGGATGCAGTGGCGACTCAATGACTTCTGAGCTCCCTGCCCCATCTCTAGCCATCCATGCGCCCAGGTCTGAAATCCGACAAGGAGAGACCTTTCTCTGGCCATCAGGCCCCATGAGGCCCAAGATACTTGCATCCCACCTGGTCGCCCAGCCCAGCGTTCGGTGACACCGGGCTCCCTTGTCCTCCCGCCATGCCCCTCCCTCATTCCCAGTTTCCCAAGTTCCGAGTCCATAGATTCGAACCTGACCTTGCTCAGCACCATCCCTGAGGGCAGCTGTGGGAATGCAGCCGTGGATGCCTGAGACCCCGTGTGCACAGGAGAGAGAGCCGCTCTGTCTGCTGGGATGGAGCAGTGGTCGGTACACTGCGGCTCGCGAGCCACATACGGCTCTTTGGCCCCTTGAGCGTGGCTCTTCCACAAAATACCACGTGCGGGCGGGCACTTACAGTGCGATTGAAACTTCGTGGCCCATGCGCAGAAGTCGGGATTTTGTGGAAGAGCCACACTCAAGGGGCCAAAGAGCCGCATGTGGCTCGAGAGCCGCAGTGTGCCGACCACTGGGATGGAGTGATTCGGGGGCCCCTCCACCCTGGACGTGGTTGCTAAGCAATGCCTCTCTCTGGCCCTGAGCGTCCTTTGATTCGGACTCATCGCATGGAGGCCTCCTGATTATGGGGACTTCTCAGGAATACTTCCAGTTCAGATCTCAAAGGCTGCCCACATCTCCGGCTCTGGTGGCCAAGGGCATCCTCTCCTTGGCGGTGGATGCTTCGCTCCAAAATTCCTTCCCCTGGACCAGCCTCTTCCCTGCCTCTGAACACCTCTCTCCACACGTGAGAAGTGGCTCTCAGCCCTGCACTGTGCACACCCATTCTGACCTCAAAGCTCAGCTCCCTCCTGCACCTGGTCTCCATGGGCAGTAGACGAGGGATCGCCCACCTCCCCCTGCACTGCCCCCCCCCCCAGCCCTGTTCACTTGTCTCCTTCTCTCCTCAGAAGCCCACCCGGGCAGTAAGCAAGGTGCACGCGTTCGGGAAGAGAGGCAATGCGCTCAGAAGGGACCCCAACCTCCCGGTGCACATCCGAGGCTGGCTGCATAAGCAGGTGGAGTGAGCGGGAGCTGGGACCAGACACTCCGCGTGACGCTAGAGGCTGTGTCCCCGGCTGCCTGCTCTTTCTCTCCTTCTAAGTCTCCACATTTGTTTTGTGTTGCTTTTGCTCTCATTCATTCTCCCCTTATTCTGTCATGGTTTCATTCATCCATTTCTTCACTCAATGACCACTTCTTCGACATGACAGTGGGCTAAGCCCAGAGTCATATACCACGCAAATAGGCCAAGTATCCATAGTCCATTCAGGATGGGGGTGGGGGAGGGGTGGTTAACAAATTAGTATACAAATAAATGGAAGGAGTGAAATAATATGTTGTATATAATCCTATATAATAAAAGGCTAATATGCAAATAGACCGAAGGGCAGAATGACCGGTCGCTGTGACACACACTGACCACCAGGGGGCAGAGGCTCAACGCAGGAGCTGCCCCTTGGTGGTCAGTGTGCTCCCACAGGGGGAGCACTGCTCAATCAGAAGCCTGGCTCATGGCTGGAGAGCGTAGCGGAGGTGGCAGGAGCCTCTCCCACCTCTGCAGCAGCACTCAGGGTGTCTGACTGATGGCTCTCCTGTGGGGAGTGGGCCTAAGCCGTCAGTCAGACATCCCTCGAGTGCTCCCGGACTGCAAGAGGGCGCAGGCTGGGCTAAGGGACCTTCCCCCCTGGGTGCACGAATTTCATGCACTGGGCCTCTAGTATGTAAATAAAGTCCATGTGAAATCGATGATTTCAGATCACAGGAATGCCTGTGAAATGAGGTGCTGTGAAGAACTAGCATGGGGACGTTTTCTAAAGTGGCTGAGGGATGAAAGCTACCTTTGTCTGTTGGTCAGGGAAGGCATCTCTGAGGGGGTGACATACATTTGAGCTGAGAACTGAATGACAAGAAGGAGCCCCTCATGCTAAGATCTGGGGGGCAGAGGGAATCCAAAAGCAAAAGGCCCCACCGCAGGCCAACGCTGGGTGTCTGGAGAAGCCAAGGGGACAGAGAGGCAGTGATTCTCAAAGTGCATCCAAGGCTGGCAGCACCAGCAGCACCCGGGAACTTGCTGGACAGGCGAGCTGTCGAGCTCCACCCCAGGTTCACTGACTCTGAGCCATGGGGACTGGGCCCAGGAACCGGGTTTTGACAAGGCCTCCTGGTGAGTCCTCTGCACGCCCAAGTTTCAAATACCCGGGAAGCCAGTGAACCAGGTTAAGGAATTGGTGATTTATTCTAAATGTGATGGTAAGCTCTGTTTTTGAGCAGGGGACTCATGATCTGATTTACTTTGAAAAATTCTATTGCTTCTGTGGGCAGGGATTGAAGAGAAGAGGGGCCCAGGTTGGCAGTGGAGTAGTGCTGACAGAGAGGATGGGGAGATGCAGGATGCGGGTTATAACTCAGTGCCACCTTCCTGGCCTCTCTGTGTCTCAGGCTCCAGAATCATCAGATATATCCAGCCCCTGCCCACGAGAGGCATGTATCTGTTCCAACTTTCCCATAACTTCTCTCTCTATTTTTTGTTAATCCTCGCCGGAGGATATTTCCATTGATTTTTAGAGAGAGTGGAAGCAGGGGGGTGGGGGGGAGACAGAGAGAGAGAGACACATCGATGTGAGCGAGACACATCGATTGATTGCCTCCCGCCCCTGCCCCGACCTGAGGCTGGGGATTGAGCCTGAAACCAGCCGAGGTCCGTGTCCTTGACCAGAATCGAACCCAAGACCCTTCAGTCTGCGGGCTCATGCGCTATCCACTGAGCCAAACCTGCTATGGCTTCTGTAACTTCTCAACCCCCAGTTGACAGATGGGAACACCCGAGAGTCCCCGTGGGAAAATGACTGTGTAAGGGCATAGTCTGCAAGTGGTGGAGCTGGGAGTCGAACTCAGGTCTGACTGTGTCCAGAATCTTCCCTCCTCTCAACCTCCCGTCTTCCATCTGAATCTATTGCATCAGACGTGTTTCGGTCCGCCCCTCTCTCCGAGTCTTTGTCCCCAAGTGTCACTGTCTCCATCTCCTTTCCAGGACCCGCTCCTCATCCTCTCCTCCCTCTCTCTCCCCCCAGGACAGCTCCGGGCTCCGGCTCTGGAAACGCCGCTGGTTCGTTCTTTCTGGCCATTGCCTCTTCTACTACAAGGGTCAGTACCGCAGCCGGCATGGGGCGAGGGACGCCCCTCCCACCCTCCCTTTCCTCTAGCCCAGTGGTTCGCAACCTTCCTAACGCCGCGACCCTTTAATACAGTTCCCCATGTGGTGGTGACCCCCAACCATAACATTATTTTCGTTGCTACTTCATCACTGTAATGTTGCTACTGTTATGAATTGTGATGTAAATATCTGATGTGCAGGATGTCTTTTCATTGTTACAAATGGAACATAATCAAAGCATAGTGATTCATCACAAAAACAATATGTCATTATATATGTGTTTTCCGATGGTCTTAGGCGACCCCTGTGAAAGGGTCCTTCGCCCCCCAAAGGGGTCGCGACCCACAGGTTGAGAACGGAGCCTCGTGGCCTTCCGATCTCTGTGTGACCCCTGACCTCGGGCCCTCTCTTTGCAGACAGCCGCGAGGAGAGCGTCCTGGGCAGCGTTCTGCTCCCCAGCTACAGCGTCCGGCCGGATGGGCCCGGAGCCCCCCGGGGGCGGCGCTTCACCTTCACCGTGAGTCCCTCCATTCCCCATGCGCTGTGCACTAGGCGATGCGGGAGGCATTGGGGCACCTTTATTGTAGATCAAAGATCTCGGCCAGGATGGATACCCCCCCCCACCCCCCCACCCCACCCCCCGGTTTGGAGGGCCCGGGCGCCGGGGTGGTCAGCTTTTTCTCCCCGCAGGCGGAGCATCCTGGCATGAGGACCTACGTCCTGGCGGCAGACACGCTGGAGGACCTGCGCGGATGGATACGCGCGCTGGGCAGGGCCTCCCGCGCGGAGGGAGATGATGGGTGAGTTACCGGCCGCGCACCTGGCCCTGCTGCTCCAACCTGGGGTGTCTGTTCATCCCCAACTCCTCCCCTGGAGGCCCTCAGCACCCAATCACCAGTCTTCTAGCGAAAGAGACTCCATCCTTTGGACCCCTGCGTTGCAAGAAATCCAGCTTTTCTTTTCTTTCTTTTTAAATATATTTCATTGATTTTTACAGAGAGGAAGGGAGAGGGATAGAGAGCTAGAAACATCATGAGAGAGAAACATTGATCAGCTGACTCTTGCACCCCCCCCACTGGGGATGTTCCTGCAACCAAGGTACATGCCCTTGACCACATGCCCTTGACCAGAATCGAACCTGGGACCCTTCAGTCCGCAGGCCGATGCTCTATCCACTGAGCCAAACCGGTTAGGGCAAAACCCAAAATATTTTGATCAAAATATATTGATTTCAGAGAGGAAGGGAAAGGGAGAGGGAGATAGAAACATCAATGACGAGAGAGAATCATTGATCAGCTGCCTCCTGCACGCCCCCTACTGGGGACTGATCTCACAACCCGGGCATGTGCCTTGACCTGAATCAAACCTCAACCTCCCGGTCATAGGTATTCAATGCTCAACCACTGAGCCACCCCCTCGGGGCCACAATGTCAGATTTTTTATTATTTATTTTTAAATCTCTATTGTTGAGAGTATTACATATGTCTCCTTTTCCCCCCTATTAACCCCCTCCAGTCCACCCCGCCCCTGCCCCCACCCCGCCCCTGGCCTTCACCACCCTACCGTCCGTGTCCATGGGCCATGCATATATGCACACAGGTCTTTGATTGATGACCTCCCACCCACCCTCCCTCCCCCGCCTTCCCGCTGAGATCCCGCACTCTGTCCCTTGCTTCCTTGTCTCTGGATCCAATCCGCTCATCAGTTTATTTTATCAATTAGATTCCACATGTGAGTGAGATCATGTGATACTTGTCTTTCTCTGCAATGTCAGATTTTTTTTTTAAAAAAAGGCTTCAGGCCGAAACCGGTTTGGCTCAGTGGATAGAGCGTCGGCCTGCGGACTGAAAGGTCCCAGGTTCGATTCCGGTCAAGGGCATGTACCTTGGTTGAGGGCACATCCCCAGTAGGAGATGTGCCGGAGGCAGCTGATCGATGTTTCTCTCTCATCCATGTTTCTAACTCTCTATCTCTCTCCTTTCCTCTCTGTAAAAACTCAATAAAATATATTTAAAAAAATAAAATAAAATAAAAAAAGGCTTCAGACTGTCTCTCCCCGGGTCTGGCTGAGTCTTCAGGCTGGAGATTCGTAGTCTGGGGCATTGGGGTCCCACTTGGTGGCCCTCTACAAGTCCTCCACACTCAGGCCTTAGTTTCCCCATCTGCAAAATGGACACAGTGATTGATAGTGCACTGCCTCCCCCCCTTTTTTCCTGTGTAGGTCCCTGTGCCTTTGTCTGTGCATTGAGAATAAGGGCTGTTATGAGGTGCCAAGGAGTGTTTTTTTCTGTGCTCACTGGCTAGTGGGCGACCCAGGTCACCCGCACGCCCCCAGCCGGGGGAGGGCCCGGGCGGCCCCGGCGGTCCTCCGGAGGCGAACACGGGGGACGAGGGGCCCAGCTTAGAATCGCCGCAAGGCGCTCGGCTTTCCAGAGAGCGTGGCCGCCCTGGGCCGCTCACTCCCACTTCCCACGCCGACCTCCAATCTGGGCCCGGGATGCAGAGGACGAGGAGCCCCGAGTGAGTTGGACCAGAAAGTCTGGGAGGAGAAAGCTGGGTTGGGGGCGTGGCCTAAGAGAAGGGCGGGGACTGGGACTGCCGGGGGCGTGGCTTAGCGCTTGCTTTCTCGAGTGGGACTTGCTGGGGTTCCTGTGGGGTCAGAGCCTGGGGGGTGGGGGGCGGGGAGCCTCGAGGAGATGCCAAAAGGGGAGGGCTTTTGCAGGATCCGGCCAAGAGGAGGGTTCTGCTCTTAGAGCAGCGGTTCTCAACCTGTGGGTCGCGACCCCTTTGGCGGTTGAGCGACCCTTTCACAGGGGTCGCCTAAGACCATCCTGCATATCAGATATTGACATGACGATTCATCACAGTAGCCACATGACAGTTATGAGGTAGCAACGAAAATAATTCTATGGTTGGGTCACAGCATGAGGAACTGTATTGAAAGGGCCAGAAGGTTGAGAACCGCTGTCTTAGAGGGACCGGGAGACACCACAAAGGGAGACAGGTCTTTGAGGCTGACTTGGTGGGTGGTGGGGCGAGGGGCTCGAGTTGAGCCAGTCCCCCCCGATTCTCAGTCCCCCCCCCAATTCTCTCCTCCCCGCAGCCTGTTCACACCCCTCTCTCGCCCGCCCTCCCCTCTGAGCCTCCCCCGGCCCCGGTCGGCCCCTGCCCGCAGGCCCCCTCCCTCCTCCTCGGGTGACACCCCACTCCCCGCCAGACCCCATACCCCACTGAGTCGCATCGACGTGCGCCCTCCCGCGGAATGGGGCCCCCAGCGCCAGGCCCTTGCCCGGCCTCCCACTCCCCGCCGAGGACCGTCCGAGCCTGGGGGAGGAAGGCCCCCCCGGAGCCCCCAGCCCTGGCATCAGGAGGCCAGGACGCAGGTGAGTAGGGAGGAGATGGGGCTGTAGCTCCAGGCTGGCCTCCGGCCATTACACCGTCAGCATTTTGGGGATTGTAGTCCGAGGACCCTCCGCCTGGACAAGGGCGTGAGAAGTGGGGTGGGTTGCAACTGCCTCCTGTGTCCAGTTTGTCTTTCCAAGTTGGCCGCCTGCTATTTTCTCTGGGCATCTCGGGATTGGAGCCCAGAATATCCGCAGCTAACCACAAGAGTGAGAGGGAGGGCAGAGGGCAGCTCCCATCCGCCCTGGGGCTGTTTGGCCAGGCTTGTCTCTCTCTCTCTCTTTTTTTAAAAATATAGTTTATTGATTTTTTACAGAGAGGAAGGGAGAGGGATAGAGAGTTAGAAACATCCATGAGAGAGAAACATCCATCAGCTGCCTCCTGCACGCCCCCCACTGGGGATGTGCCTCCAAGCAAGGTACATGCCCTTGACCGGAATCGAACCTGGGACCCTTCAGTCCGCAGGCCGAGGCTCTATCCACTGAGCAACACCGGTCAGGGCCAGGCTTGTCTCTTTATTATCATCCTGTCTGTCCCTACAGCGACACTGGGCCGGAAAGCAGGTAGTGGAGGAAGTTAGGGGGCCCAGTTTTGAACCTCAAAGGGCCTCCCAGGGCACTTCAGTTCTGGGCACACCCACTTTATTTTATTTTTTTAAATATATTTTTATTGATTTCAGAGAGGAAAGGAGAGGGAGAGAGAGAGATAGAAATATCAGTGATGAGAGAGAATCATTGATCGGCTGCCTCCTGCACGCCTCCCTACTGGGGATGGAGCCCGAAATGTGGGCATGTGCCCTTGACTGGAATTGAACCTGGGGCCTTTCAGCCTGCAGGCCGATGATGCTCTATCCACTGAGCCAAACCGGCTAGGGCTGGGCACCCCCACTTTAACATGTGTTGCTAAGACACGCCAATTTCTAAACATCTCTTTTTCAATATTCCTCCCAGGCCCCCTCTGGCTCCTCCACTTATATCCAGCTGCCCCCAAGATCTCCTGGGACTCGGGCTTCCATGGTTTTATTGGTAAATATCCTGGGGCACCTCGAAACCGCCAGAGCCCCTCCCTTGCTTTCCTGGCTAAGCTGGACCTCATGTGGACTAGTGTGCCTAGACCGGGGCGGATGTTTCAAGGGCCTTGGGCAGGGGCTCCCATTCGTTTCCTCAGGCTGCCGCAAACCGGGTAGCATACATACAGACTATCTCTCCATTCAGTCATAGCACCTCCTAGATCTTTTACTTGAGTCTTAAAGTTTTTCCATAGAGATCTTATGTGTTCTTAGTTAAGATAACGCCCAAATACCTGACAGGCTTTTTTTTTTAATATATATTTCTTTATTGATTTTAGAGGGGAAGGGAGAAGAAGAGAGAGAGAAATGTCAGTGAGAGAGAATCATTGATCGGCTGCCTCCTGGATGCCCCCAACTGGGGATCGAACCTGCAACCCAGGCATGTGCCCTTGGCCGGAATTGAACCTGGGACCCTTCAGTCCGCAGGCTGATGCTCTATCCACTGAGTCAAGACAACTAGGGCTACCTGACAGTTTTTATAGCTATTTGAATGACATCATCTTTTAAATTATGTCTTCTAGTTATTGATAGTGTAGAGATATGCTATTTAAAATTTTTTTTATTGATTTTTTTTTTTTTTGAGAGAGAGATCAATGTGTTGTTCCACTTACTCATTCCATTCATTGGTGGATTCTTGTATGTGTCCTGACTGGAGATCAAGCCGCCAACCTTGGCATGATGCTCTAACCCCGTGGTCGGCAAACTGCGGCTCGAGAGCCACATGCGGCTCCTTGGCCCCTTGAGTGTGGCTCTTCCTAAGCCTTAGGAGCACCCTAATTAAGTTAATAACAATGTACCTACCTCTATAGTTTAAGTTTAAAAAATTTGGCTCTCAAAAGAAATTTCAATCATACTGTTGATATTTGGCTCTGTGGACTAATGAGTTTGCCGGCCACTGAAGTCTAACCAATTGAACTACCTTGGCCAGGGCTAGAGATATGCTATTAATGTTTATAGCTTCATCTGGCATGTGACATCCTTGCTGAATTCTATTTGTTCTGATCTTTGATTCTGCTGGTTGGCTTTTCTGGGTAGATGAGCATGTCATCTGTAAATTATGGTTTTATTTTCCCCTTCCTATTCTTTTCTTTTTTTAAGATTTTAAAATTGATGTTTAGAGAGACAGGAAGGAAGAGAGAGAAAGAGACATCCATGATGAGAGAGAATCATTGATTGGCTGCCTCCTGCATGCCCCTCACCGGGGATCGAGCCAGCAACCTGGGCATGTGCCCTGACCAAGAATCAAACTGGCAACCAATCCCCGCAGGCCAGGTCGAGGGACCCCACTACCAGTGGGAGCGTCTGCCCCTGGTGGTCAGTGCACATCATAGCGACTGGTCGAACAGTTGAACAAACAGTTGGACACTTAGCATATTAGACGTTTATGATTTAAGAAGGATATATATATATATATATATATATATACACACACATATATGTTGATTTCAGAGAGGAAGGGAGAGGGAGAGAGAGATAGAAACATCAAAGATAAGAGAAAATCATTGATCGGCTGCCTCCTGCACCCCCCCACTGGGGATCAAACCTGCAACCTGGGCATGTGCCTTGACCAGGAATCGAATCATGACCTCCTGGTTCATAGGTTGACGCTCAACCACTGAGCCACCCTGTTGGGCAAACTGACAACCTTTTTTTTTTTTTTTAAATATATTTTATTGATTTTTTACAGAGAGGAAAGGAGAGAGAAAGAGAGTTCGAAGATCAGCTGCCTCCTGCACATCTCCCACTGGGGATGTGCCCACAACCCAGGTACATGCCCTTGACTGGAATCGAACCCGGGACCCTTCAGTCTGCAGGCCGATGCTCTATCCACTGAGCCAAACCGGTTTTGGCCTGACAACCTTTTGATGCACAGGATGATGCTCAGCCAACTGAGCCACACTGGCTGGGCTGTTTTCTGTGCCTCACAGCGTTGGGTGTTACACGGTAACAGTGGCAGTGGGCATCCTTGGTTTAGTCTCAGCAGTAAGGGAAATGCCTAAATGTTTCCCATTAGTGATAATATTTGTTATAGCTATTTGTTAACAGAGCACGTTGTACCTTCCTAAAGCCAAGAAGCAGACAGTGGGCCTACTGAGGTTTGCTAACGCTTGGAACGAAGCTAACAAGGAGGGGGGTGTCTGTCGGTAGAAGCGGAGTGTGGTCAGCTCTGAGCTGTAGTAAAGCCCTGACCGCCCCGGTGACCCCGGCTTTTCTCCTCTTTCTCAGCCGGGCCCTCCCCTGGACTCATCCTTCCACCAAAGCTTGGAGACAGATGTAAGTCCTCCCGGATCCAACCCCTGCTGAGTTCCAGGGTTGGGGAGAGAATATTCCAGGTGTGTGTGTGTGTGGGGGGAGGGCGGTGGGGGCAGAGGTAAGAGCCAGATCTGGTCCTGTTCTCCTTTTTCAGACCCTGCTGACCAAGTTGTGTGGGCAGGACCGGCTCCTGAAGAGGCTGCAGGAGGAGATAGACCAGAGACAGGAGGAGAAGGTGGGGCTCTGGGCTGGGAAGACACCCAGCCCCTCCCCTACTCCCCCCCCCCCCCCCCCCCGCCCTTAGCCCTTCCTGATCCCCAGCATGCGGGGTGACAAGGATGTGGGAAGACACTTTTCCTCTCTTCCTGGGGCTGGGTGTGACTTCAGAAGGTTAATTTAAAAAAAAATATATATATGTTGCCGAAACCGGTTTGGCTCAGCGGATAGAGCGTCGGCCTGCGGACTGAAAGGTCCCAGGTTCGATTCCGGTCAAGGGCATGTACCTGGGTTGCGGGCACATCCCCAGTAGGAGATGTGCAGGAGGCAGCTAATTGATGTTTCTCTCTCATCGATGTTTCTAACTCTCTATCTCTCTCCCTTCCTCTCTGTAAAAAATCAATAAAATATATATTTAAAAAATATATATATATATATGTTTTTTATTGAATTTACAGAGAGGAAAAAAGAGGGAGAGAGAGATAGAAATATCAATGATGAGAGAGAATCACTGATCTGCTGCCTCCTGCACACCCCCTACTGGGGATGGAGCAGACAACCAGGGCATGTGCCCTGACCAGGAATTGAGCTGTGACCTCCTGGTTCATGGGTTGATGCTCAATCACTGAGCCACACTGGCCGGGCGAAGGTCATCTTTTTCCCTCTCGGTGCAGGAGCAGCTAGAAGCAGCCCTGGAGCTGACCAGGCAGCAGCTGGGCCAAGCAGCCAGGGAGGCTGCGGCTCCCCCTCGGGCCTGGGGGCGCCAGCGCCTCCTGCAGGACAGATTGGTCAGTGTGAGGGCCACTCTTTGTCACCTGACTCAGGTGAGCATTTGGGAAGGGACCTACCCTCCCAGGGGGCCCCAGGACTCAACAGGTGGTTCCTGGAGGGGACCCAACCCTAAGGACTCATGGGAAGGTAGTTCTTGAGAATCGCCCCCTCCCCGAATTTTAATCCCGTGCTCTTGTCTGTCCCAGAGGGTGAGCAGCCAGGAAAGCTGCAGAACGTAATTGAGTGGCGTAAGAGGGTGCGTTTGATAAGGATTCCTGGCGTTGAACCTCAGCTCCCACTCACGGAAGCTGTGTGAGCTTAGAAAAGTGACTTAACCCCTCTGGGCCTTAGATCCCATCAGATGCCTCTTATGTAAACTCGAGATGGAAAATACAGTATTTGCTTCATAGGGTTACTGTGGAGATTCCATAAATATACGTAAATGAATGAATGAATGAATATTTAACACGTAGGTACCTGGCATCTGATAAGCACTAGCTAAGTGTTAGCTATAAATATTATCATCTGTAAAATGGAAACATGAATAGCACCCGTAGCACAGACTTAAATGAGTGCCAGGAACGGCGCCTATCACACATGCAGTGCCTAATAAATATTCGCTGCTATAATTATCACTATGGGTGAGCAGGCTTCTGCTGCCCAGGAGTGCATCGGGGTGAGGTCTTGACTAGCCCAAGGACTCACCAGGGGTGCCCCAGGGCAGCACAGAGGTGAGGGTTCAGAGACAGCTGTCCTTTCTCTCCACTAGCAGCTCTTTGGGGTGGCAGGTTCCTCATAGGCGCTGGGGTTCCCGGTGGTCGGAGCCGAAAGGCCTTTGGGAATTGTAGTCCAGGTACTGCCGCAGGACACCAGGGACCAGGCTGGCCTTCTTCCCCCTTATTGGGAGTAGGAACGATCTAGCGGGCGGGCGGGCATGCTAACCCTGTGTCTCCCCTTTCTGGGACCCGAGGAGCGAGAGCGGGTTTGGGACACGTACAGCGGCCTGGAGCAGGAGCTGGGCACCTTGAGGGAGGCCCTGGAGTACCTGCTGCACCTCGGGTCCCCCCAGGTACGGACCGCCCTGTCCCATGCCCCCAAGCCCCGCCCTCCACTCCAGGTCCACCTGGAGACCCTTTGGGCATGCAAGCCCCGCCCACAGATTGGAGTACTTCTCACTTTATCACAAGCTCCTCCCCTTCTCTCATTTCCTTCCTTTTTTTCTTTTTTTCAATCCTCACCCGAGGATATGTCTATTGATTTTAGAGAGAGGAAGGGAGAGAGAGAGAGAAACATTGATCCGTTACCTCTCTTATGTGGCCCAGCCAGGGATCGAACCCCCAACCTAGGTATGTGCCCTGACCGGTCATCGAACCCACGACCGTTAGGTGTAGAGGACGATGCATCAACCAACTGAGCCACACCAGCCAGGGCTGTTTCCTTTCCTTTTAAATCCCTTATTATAGCCCTAACCGGCTTGGCTCAGTGGATAGAGCGTCGGCCTGCGGACTCAAGGGTCCCAGGTTCGATTCCAGCCAAGGGCATGTACCTTGGTTGCGGGCACATCCCCAGTGGGGGGTGTGCAGGAGGCAGCTAATCGATGTTTCTCTCTCATCAGTGTTTCTAACTCTTTATCCCTCTCCCTTCCTCTCTGTGAAAAATCAATAAAATATATTTAAAAGAATAAATCTCTTATTATAGTTCACACCAAGCTCTTCACTTTCAGACCTACCTTTGGCTCAGACCCACTGTCCCTCCGGTTTAAATCTCTCCTCTTATTTTGAAGCCCTACTCTCTGTGTCAAAACTCCTCTCGTCGGCCCTGTCCCCACCCTGCAAGTTCATCCCGACTTTCGCTGTTAAATGTATCCTCTGAATTTCCAGTCCTAAAGCCAGTCCCTCAGTTCGAGGCCCACTTCTGAAGGACAAGCCCTGTTGCTTCCTTAGCCTCAGACCCACCTCTTCTTCATGCCAGGCCTAGCAATCGAGTTTCAAAATCATCTATTTTTTTAAATACTCACCTGAGGATACGTTTTTATTGATTTTAGAGAGGGGGGAGGGAGGGAGGGAGGGAGAGAGAGAGAGAGAGAGAGAGAGAGAGAGAGAGAGGCATCAATTTGAGAGAGAAAAATAATTTGGTTGCCGGGAGATTGAACCTGTCACCCATGCATATGCCTTGACTGGGAATTGAACCCGTGACCCTTCAGTGCATGGAACAATGCTCCAACCCACTGAGTCACATTGGCCAGGGCCCAAATCATGTATTTTTTATTTTATTTTATTTATTTTTTATTGATTTCAGAGAAAAAGGGAGAGGGGGAGAGAGAGAGAGAAAAACATCAATGATGAGAGAGAATCATTGATCAGCTGCCTCCTGCAAGCCCCACACCGGGGATCGATCCCGCAACCCGGGCATATGTCCAGACCTGGAATCAAACCATGACCTCCTGGGTCACAGGTCAACACTCAACCACTGAGCCACTCTGGCTGGAGCCAAAATCATACATCTTTAGTTAAAAACATTGACTTCTGCCCTAACTGGTTTGGCTCAGTGGATAGAGCATCGGCCTGTGGATTGAAGGGTCCCGGGTTCGATTCCCATCAAGGGCATGTACCTTGGTTTCGGGCACATCCCCAGTAGGGGGGTGTGCAGGAGGTAGCTGATCCCATGTTTCTGACTCTCTGTCCTTCTCCCTTCCTCTCTGTAAAAAATCAATAAAAATGTATATATAAAAAAAAAACAACCAAAAAAATAAACATTGACTTCTATTAAATGTGTACTTACAGATTTAAGCCCTGACTTCATACTAACCTCTCCCAACTTCTTCCTAAAATCCACCATTTAACACTAACCCCCCGCCCCCCAGGGGTGTTAAGTATTACTTACCACCAGCAATATATGAAGAAAATAATAAATACATCACAACCAAATTGGGTTTGCTACGGGAATGCAAGGTTAGTTTTAACACTTGAAATCAGTCCATGTATTTCACCACATTTGGCAAAATAATAGGGGGAAACCACATGGTTGTCTCAATAAATGCAGGGGGAAAGGACAAGATTCAACACCCCTTCATGACAAAAGCTCTCAGCAAAGTAGAAATAGAAGGGAAGTTCCTTAATCTGATAAAAGGTATTTATAACAAATCTACAGCAAACATTGTAGTGGTCAGTGAAATATGGAAAACTTTCCTCCTGATATCTGGAATAAGACAAGGGTGTTGCCCTAGCTGGTTTGGCTCAGTGGATAGAGCGTCAGCCTACGGACTGGAAGGTCCTGGGTTCGATTCCGGTCAAAGGCACATGCCTGGGTTGTGGGCTTGATCCCCGGTGGGGGGCGTGCAGGAGGCAGCCGATCAGTGATTCTCTCTCATCATTGATGTTTCCACCTCTCTCTCCCTCTTCCTCTCTGAAATAATAATAATAATAATAATAATAATAATAATAATAATAAAAGACAAGGGTGTCTGCTAGCACCAGTTGTAGCCAACATTGTACCAGAGGTTTTAGGCAGTACAAGTATGAAATAAAAAATTAGGTATAAGGACAAGAAAGGAAGAAGTGAAGCTATTTTTTTTTAAAATATATTTTATTGATTTTTTACAGAGAGGAAGGGAGAGAGATAGAGAGTTAGAAACATCAATGAGAGAGAAACATTGATCAGCTGCCTCCCGCACATCTCCCACTGGGGATATGCCCACAGCCCAGGCACATGCCCCTGACCGGAATCGAACCCGGGACCTTTCAGTCCGCAGGCCGACGCTCTATCCACTGAGCCAAACCGGTTTCGGCGAAGCTATTTTTATTTACAGATGACATGACTGTGTATATATGTAGAATATCCAAGTAGTTTCCAGCTCTCGTCGGTTTGGCTCAGTGGATAAAGCACCGGCCTGCAGACTGAAGGGTCCCAGGTTCGAATCCAGTCAAGGGCACATGCCTCAGTTGCAGGCTTCTCCCCGCTCTGCTCTCCCTGGTCAGGGTGCATTCAGGAGGCAACTGATTGATGTATTCCTCTCACACTGATACCATTTCTGTCTTTCCCTCTTTCTTCCACTGTCTCTGAAAACCAATGGAAAAATATCCGTGGGTGAGGATAAATAAATAAATGCACACATTTTTAACAACAAAAAACCAAAAGACCACAAAATAATTTCCAGAGACACTATTAGAATAAGCATATTTAGCAAGGTCACTGAACGCAAGGTTAATATCAGTTGTCCTCATGTTTGCTAGTGCCAAACAATTAGAAAGTAAATAAACAGCAGTTTGTTTTTTGAAAATATATTTTTATTGATTTCAGAGAGGAAGGGAGAGGGAGAAAGAGATAGAAACACCAAGGAGAGAAAAATCATTGCTTGGCTGCCTCCTGCACGCCCCCCACTGGGGATGGAGCTTGCAACCTCGGCATGTGCCCTTGGCCAGAATGGAACCCAGGATCCTTCAGTCCACTGGCCGATGCTCTATCCACTGAGCCAAACTGGCTAGGCCTAAACAGAAGTTTTTATAATTAACACAAACAAATTAAATATCTAGGAAGAAATCACAGGAAAGATTTGCAAGATACCTACGCTCAAAGCCACAGGACAACATTGAGAGAAGGTAAAGACCTATATAAATGGGGAGATATACCAAGTTCATGGATAGGAAAGAGGCACTAATGCAAAGATGTGGTCTCCCCAAGTGAATTGCCCCAGTGGGGGTCAGCAACTCCGATGCAAATCCAGAAGAGATTGTAAACTGACCCTAAGTTGCATTTGGAAGCACAAAAGGCCCAGAGTAACCTAGGCAATCTTGAAGAACAAAGCGGGAGGACTAATACAACTGGATGTCAAGCCTGACTGAAAAGCTATTGTTAATAGCACAGGCTGGCCCTAACCGGTTTGGCTCAGTGGATAGAGCGTCGGCCTGCGGACTGAAAGGTCCCAGGTTCGATTCGGGTCAAGGGCATGTACCTTGGTTGTGGGCACATCCCCAGTAGGAGGTGTGCAGGAGGCAGCTGATCGATGTTTCTCATCGATGTTTCTGACTATATATCTCTCTCCCTTCCTCTCTGTAAAAAATCAATAAAATATATTAAAAAAAAAAAAAAGACAGAGGTAACACTGCAGAGCATGTAAAAAAGACAGCGTGGGTGATAAATGGTGGTGAGGTGACGGGATATCCATATGGAAATGGATAGCCACAAATGCAGCCTCGATATGCGCACGTAGTCCATTTATTTATTTATTTTTATTTTATGTATACATTTTTTTATTGATTTCAGAGCGGAAGGGAGAGGGAGAGAGAGAGAAACATCAATGATGAGAGAGAATCATTGATTGGCTGCCTCCTGCATGCCCTCTCCTGGGAATATAGCCCGCAACCCAGGCATGTGCCCTTAACCGGAATCGAACCCGGGACCCTTCAGTCCGCAGGCCGATGCTCTATCCACTGAGCAAAACCAGCCAGGGCCATAGTCCATTTCTGACTCCATAAATACAGCCCAGCTGGTTTCAGATCCTGCCTGTGGCCTATCACCTTTAACCCTCTTGTATTTTCCCACCCCCAGGACAGAACGTCCGCTCAGCAGCAGCTGTGGATGATGGAAGACACCCTGGCAGGTCTGGGGGGGCCCCAGAAACCACCCCAAAGCACTGAGCCTGACTCCCCGTCTCCTGCACTCCAAGGCGAGGAGTCCTCAGAGAGAGAGGTGAGGTTTACACACCTCTCTTCCCATCCCCAGCTTCCTGCCCCACCTGCCCCTGGCCAAACGCATCACCCACTCACCTCTTTCCCTCTCCTTTGACCAACTAACCAACCTCAGACGAGTATCCTAAGCTGTGGAATCCTGAGTTTCCTTATTTGTTACCTGTGAGCGTAAGCCAGGGGTGTGCTGGACCCACTCCCCCCCACCCCCTACCCCCCTCAAGGGCCAACTGCGGGCATCACTTCCCAGCTCCACATTCAGTGACGTCCAGTTGAAATCGACCACGGTGGGAATATTTACACCACGGTAATTGGCAAACATACAAACCAGGGCTGTTTTCTCCCGGAGAGGCATTGCTTAAACATTTACCAGACACTTCTGATCAGAACCCCACCTTGCGGAGTTCTGTAAGGAGGAGAAAGGATGCCTGGGGAGTGCCTGACACAGAGTCGGCCCTCGGGGGCAGGAGCCACTATTGTCTCATCGGGGTTAGGGCCGCTGCCTGCCGTGACCTTCGGAGCATGCATGGAGGAGCCCTAGGTTGAGACCCCTGCCCTGCCTTCTTGGTGACATCAGTCACTGACTGAATTCTCTGAGCGTCAGTAGAATAAGAATAGGTGTCTCATAGATTTATTGAGGGGATTTAATAAAACAGGAGAAGTACTGAACACCATGCCAGGTGCATCATCATTATAAAACCCCCCACTTATAATGCCCCGCCCTGTGCCAGGCACCGTTCTCACGGCCTTATGTGAGGTTTCAATCCTCATATAAGAAGTTTAAATGTGGCCGAAACCGGTTTGGCTCAGTGAATAGAGCGTCGGCCTGTGGACTGAAAGGTCCCGGGTTCGATTCCGGTCAAGGGCATGTACCTGGGTTGCGGGCACATCCCCAGTAGGAGATGTGCAGGAGACAGCTGATCGATGTTTCTCTCTCATCGATGTTTCTGACTATCTCTCTCCTTTCCTCTCTGTAAAAAAAAATCAATAAAAAGATATATAAAAAAAAAAAAAAAGTTAAAAAAAAAAAAAAAGAAGTTTAAATGTGACCCAGAGGGGTCGAGTAACTTGCCCAAGATCACACAGCTAATGAACGGCAGAGCGGGGGTTGGTCATCCGGCTTCTGGTTTTGATCTTAATCCTATTGCGCTGTGTCTCAGTTGCCAGGTGCTTAATACGTGGTAATAATAACGATGCTGCTAATCATTTTTCCTCTTCCCCAACCCATCCAGAGTCTGCCTGAATCCTTGGAACTGAGCTCACCCCGGTCCCCAGAGACCGACTGGGGGCGGCCTCCCGGGGGGCACAGAAGCCCTGCCAGCCCTCGCTCAGGTGAGCACCCTGGGCCTGGAGGGACCCGCATGGCATCCCCTGTCCTCACAACGCCCCGTTCTGCCCTTCCAGGTGTTGGATCTCCCAGGATCTCCCAGGCTTCTAGCCCCGAGGGTCGCTGCCCTCCCTCCCCACAGCCAGGAGCCAAGGTAGGCAGCCTATTGGTCCCCTCCGGCCCATCTTGTAACGTTCCCATCTGGTCAGCACGGATCACCCACTCTTGGGGGAAAGGCTGGGAGAGGGGGTTCGGAGGCCACAGCCCAGATCAGAGAGAATGTGACTTAAGAACATTGGGATTACATTTTGTCTCTGCCACCGCTAAGCCGTGTGACTTCGGGCCAGTTACTAAACCTCTCTCTGCCTCCATTTTCTCATCTGCAAAATGGAGCCAATAGCAGTGCCCACCACCTAGAGCTGATGTGAGGATTCAAACTAGATGAATGCCCAGAAAGGGTTGGAAATAGTGCCTGGATATAGTAAGGACTTCATTCATTCATTCATTCATTCATTCATTCATTCATGTATCTATTCATTGACTCAACAAATATTGATTCAATATCCACCTCACTGTCCGATAAGGTAGCCAGTAGCCACATGTGGCTGCTTAAATTTAAACGAAATAAAATTAAAAATTCTCTCACACTCACCACACTGCCATTGCTCAGGAGCAGATAAAACATTTCCGTCACTGAAGAAAGTGCTCACGCACAGAGGTGTTTAGGCGCTGAAGTCGCAGGTGTGAACAAAACGAGAAAAAAAAACTTTTTTTTTTCCCTTATGAATCTGGTGTTCTAGTGGATGTCAGAGGCAGATCATAAACAGCCAATTTACTGTAGCCCTGGCTGGTGTGGCTCGATGGTTAGAGTGCTGGCCCACACACCAAAGGGTTTTGGGTTTGATTCCAGGTCAAGGGCATATACCTGGGTTGCAGGTTCAATCCCCGGTTCTGGTCAGGGCATGTTTGGGAGCCAACCAATTGATGTCTCTCTCTCTCTCCTCCCTCTCTCCCTTCCACTCTCTAAAAATCATTGGGGGAAGCCGAAACCGGTTTGGCTCAGTGGATAGAGCGTCGGCCTTCGGACTGAAAGGTCCCAGGTTCGATTCCGGTCAAGGGCATGTACCAGGGTTGCGGGCACATCCCCAGTAGGAGATGTGCAGGAGGCAGCTGGTCGATGTTTCTCTCTCATCGATGTTTCTAACTCTCTATCTCTCTCCTTTCCTCTCTGTAAAAAATCAATAAAATATATTTAAAAAAAAAATCATTGGGGGAAAAAGTGCAAAATTTTGCAGATTCTAGACCGGTAATATGGTGCATACACTGTGTATTATATAAAATCTCCAGTGATGCCTGGCACAGCATCCTTAACCAAACACATTAACATTTCTCCAATAAAATGTATGAATATTCATATTAAATGGGATAAAAGCTATAAATAACATCTCATTTAGATGTCAAGTTTTTAAAAAATAGCAATAATCTACTAAATGAGCAAGTCAGAGTAGAAGAAAAATAGAAATAGTAGGCACTTTTTATTTCTTTTTTAAAAATATTTTTATTGATTTCAGAGAAAAGAAGGGAGTGGGAGAGAGAGAGAAAAACATCCTATAAAATAAAAGGGTAGTATGCAAATTGACCCTAAGAGGGGAATGACAGGTCGCTATGACACACGCTGACCACCAGGGGGCAGACGCTCAATGCAGGAGCTGCCCCCTGGTGGTCAGTGCGCTTCCACAGAAGGAACGCTGCTCAGCCAGAAGCCGGCTCATGGCTAGCCAGCGAAGGATGTCCGACTAACAGCTTAGGCCCACTCCCTGCTATTAGTCAGACATCACCTGAAGGTTCCCGGGCTGCCAGAGGGCGCATGCTGGGCTGAGGGACCCCCCCCCCCGCCCCCGCACGAATTTTCATGCACCGGGCCTCTCGTTAATAAGAATCATTGATTGGCTGCCTCCTGCACGCCCCCTACTGGGGATTGAGAGCACAACCTAGGCATGTGCCCTGACCGGGAATTGAACCATGACCTCCTGATTCATAGGTTGATGCTCAACTACTGAGTCACGCCCGCTGGGCTTGGCAGGACAAGTCTGATGCCTACTAAGACATCGGCAGATGACCGATCCAAATAGGGTGTCATGAAGGCCAGGGAGCTGCCACCTGTCCTCTCCTCCCTAAGCTTTGAGGTGTGGCCACTGCAGGAAAAAAATCCCAAACTCCCTTATTTGCTAGACATCTCTCTCCGGAGCCCTCTAGCGGCCAGGCCCTGTGGAAAGTGTTGGGGGGCCAGCCACAAATTAGACCTGATGCTGGAGTCTGATGGAGGGAAGGCACGAATGCGATCTTCATAGGAGTCTGACAGCAACAAGCGGTTTCACACGGGGGGACTGGCAGCATTAGGAAGCCTTTTATTTTTAAAAAAAATATATTTTATTGATTTTTTACAGAGAGGAAGGGAGAGGGATAGAGAGCTAGAAACATCAACGAGAGAGAAACATCAATCAGCTGCCTCCTGCACACCCCCTACTGGGGATGTGCCCACACCAAGGTACATGCCCTTGACCGGAATTGAACCTGGGACCCTTCAGTCCGCAGGCCGACGCTCTATCCACTGAGCCAAACCGGTCAGGGCTAGGAAGCCATATACTATGTGTGTGTATAAAATTGATTTCAGAGAGGGAAAGGGAGAGAGAGAGACAGAAACATCAGTGATGATAGAGCCCCCTACTGGAGATTGAACCCACAACCCAGGCATGTGCCCTTGACCGGAATCGAACCCAGGACCCTAAGTCCGCAGGCCGACGCTCTATCCACTGAGCCAAACCAGCCAGGGCAGGGAATCCTTTTATTTTTATTTTTTAAAATATATTTTATTGATTTTTAAAAATATATATTTTATTGATTTTTTTACAGAGCGGAAGGGAGAGGGATAGAGAGCCAGAAACATCGATGAGAGAGATTAAAATATATTTTATTGATTTTTAAAAATATATATTTTATTGATTTTTTTACAGAGCGGAAGGGAGAGGGATAGAGAGCCAGAAACATCGATGAGAGAGAAACATCGACCAGCTGCCTCCTGCACATCTCCTACTGGGGATATGCCTGCAGCCAAGGTCCATGCCCCTGACTGGAATCGAACCTGGGACCCTTGAGTCCGCAGGCCGACGCTCTATCCACTGAGCCAAACCAGCCAGGGCTGGGAAGGCTTTTAAAGGACAGGTAAACTGAGGCCGGGTGAATGAGAAAAGGTTGTCCATGCAGGGAAGTCCAGCGGAGGGAACGGCGTGGAGGTGCTGGTGATGCAGAAACAATGCTGAGCGTATTCCTTTGCTTAAGCCAGGCCGACCCGGAGAGTAGGGATTGGTCGCCCTTAAGCGGGGCGAGGCTTTGTGTCTGTTGCTGATTGGCTGGTTTTCAGAAACGCGGGGCCAGCCCCGATTGGCTGGCTGGCTGGCTGGCTTTCCGAGAAGCGCGGTTGGGGCGATGACCCGACCTAGCAGATTTGAGAGCACTTCCGGTGCTTCCTCGTTGCCGTGGATACCAAACAATCGGTCTTTCCCGGGAAGGGCGCGGTGTGCAGCACGGACATGGGTGGTGGGGGCTGCTTCGGGAATGGCTTCTTCCGCTCCCCGGCCGGGCAGTTCCGCGCCTGCCCGGGTGTGTGTGTGGGGTGGGGGGGTGGGGGGTGGGGCAGGCTTTGCAGAGCCGAGCAGGGGAAAGACATGACCACGAGGTGGCAGTAGACACACGGGCTTTGTTTACCACGTTCGGACAGGTTTGCCCGTGGGTGGGAGAAGCCAGGACCTGAGACCCCGAGTGATTGCATGGGAGCCACTGTCCAAGGAGGGAGGCGGGGGAGGGCTGAGAAGGGGATTAAGGGGCAGGGTGATAGCACTCAGGGCACAGGGAGACTCCTTAGGCGGCGGCCGCTTGGGGTATATTTTCTTTCTCCTTCTCCCTTTTCCTTCCTCCCTTCCTTCCTTCCTTCCTTCCTTCCTTCCTTCCTTCCTTCCTTCCTTCCTTCCTTCCTTCCTTCCTTCCTTCCTTCCTTCCTTCCAATATATACATAGTCCAGCTAGCGTGGCTCAGTGGTTGAGCATCAACCTATGAACCAGGAGGTCAAGTTCAAATCCCAGTCATGGCACATGCCCAGGTTGCAGGCTCAATCCCCAGTGGGGTGGGTGCAGGAGGCAGCCCATCAATGATGCTCTCTTGTCACTGATGCTTTGATCTCTTTCTCCCTTTCTATCTAAAAATAAATAAAAACATTAAAAATAATAATACAAAACAATAATATATATATATATATATATATATATATATATATATATATATATTAGAGAGAGGGAGGGGGGGAGAGAGAAACATCGATGTGAGAGCACAACATTGATCGGCTGCCTTCTGCACACCCCCTACCAGGCCTCAAGGCCCCAACGAAATCCGGGCAGGTGCCCTGACCAGGAATAGAACTGGCAACCGTTTGGTGCACAGGATGGCGCCCAACCAACTGAGCCACACTGGCCAGCGCCACTTGGAGTCTTTTATAGCTGCAGGTTCACCTTACCTCCGGCCAGCAGATGCTGGGCACAGCTTCGTGGAGTATTCAAAACAGGCAGGCTTTAAGTGGCTAAAAATATCTGCCTGTTTGGACGGCTATATTTGAAACAGGTGAAGGTGTAGAAGTTTGGATTGGGCCCTGGCAGGCTCTGGGGCCAGTGGTCTGGCCCGCTGTGAAGAAATAAACGACACAGGGCCATGTGCGGGGGACTGTGTCCAACAGGTGGGCGTGCGACTCAGGATTGGCCAAATCGGAGTAAAACAGTGGCTGGCCCCTCAGTGAGCCACAGATGGATCCAAGCTGTTTCTAGTTTTTAGAATGTTCTAGCTGCAGCCTGCAGTGAGGAGTTCTCTGCCCTTTGTTTTTTTTTGTTTTGTTTTGTCTTGTGTGTTTTTCCCCTTAAACAACGCGTTTATTGACTCGCAGTTCTGCAGGCTAGAAGCCCGGAAGCAGGGTGCCCTCAGGGCCATGCTCTCGGCCTGGGGAAGGATTGCTCCAGGTCCCTTCCTTGGCTTGTGGCCGCACAATTGCAAGGTCCCGTGGCTCTCTCCCGGGATGCGAGTCTGTGTCCAAACTGCCCCCTTTCCTGCAGGATCACATGCTCTCAGCCGGACTGCCCTCTCTGTCTGTTTTTCTGTCTGCGGCATCCCAGCCCGTCTTCTCTGAGTCCCGTCTCTGTCCCCTTCAGTGCAAGTTGGCACCGTTTCTGCTGCGACCATGTACTGGACCCGCAGGCCACGTGCCTAAATCGCTCAGCAAACGGCTGTCCGGCCACACCCTTGGCGTTCTGTCCAGAACACGCTTTCTCCTTTTTGCCATGTGAACAGGCCGAGCACCGATCGCCCCAGCCTTCAAGTTCCGGTTTCCTTTCGCTGAACAATTTCTTTTGCGCGTTATCGCTGTCCTCTTGCATTTTACGTTCTTAAGGCTGAAGTTCACGATCAAGGTGTCCGAGGGGCCGTGATCCCTCTGAGGGCGCTGGGGAAGAAGGATCAGCTCCGAGCCGGTGCCTTGGCTTGTGGCCACGTAGCTCTGATTGGCACATGGCATTCTCTCTGTGTGCGTCTTCCCTCTGGTTCTGAGGGCAAGACAACACTCATCGGTCCTCTCTCAGGCCCACCCGAGCTCATCCTCGGGACAATTTAATTAATCAATCCTATTCCTCCTGTTGTTTTCAAGGCTGATTCAGTGGTTTTTGTTTGAGTGTGTGTGTGTGTGTGTGTGTGTGTGTGTGTGTGTGTCTGTTGAGGCAGAGTGGGGGGTGGGGACCAGGCCTCATGGCCTCAAAGGCCTTGGCCCCCAGGGTGCTGAGCTTAGGGACCCTGGGGGGGGGGGGGCGGCGGGCAGTGGAGGGACAGCCTCAGCTCAGGGCGTAGAAAGAGCCCTCTGAGATCTGGTGGTGAACTTACTGGAAAGGGCAGGGCTGGAGGCTAAGAGGTTCAGGGAAGAGATGAAAGGGAAGCCAAGCTTGGGGTCCTGAGGCGTTTCTCGTCCTCCAGCCGCCCCAGGCCCGGCCCCGGATGAGTGCTCAGGAGCAGCTGGAGAGGATCCGGAGGAACCAGGAGTGCGGACGGCCTCTCCCTCGCCCCGCCTCTCCGCGGCTCCTCACTCTGGGGAGGACCCTGTCCCCCGCACGATGCCAGCCTGACGTGGAGCAAAGGGTGAGGGGAGCAGAGGGGGTGGTGGGGCGGTGGGGCCCTCTGCTCCTGGTGTGAGGCTCATTGTCCCTCTCCGGAAAATGGGGTGCTCCCCTCCTACCCAGAACCGGGTTCCCCAATTCCACCCGGCTTGTACCTGTGCCAAGGGCAGCGTCCGGCCCCTTCTCGGTGGGGGACAGAGGTGGGCAGATACAACATTCCCAGCTCACCAGGCATCTAGGGTCTAGATTGCAAGCCCGAGCTTTCTTTTCAGTTACTCTGTGTTGTCAAAGGCAAGAAGAAGGAAGGAAGGAAGGAAGGAAGGAAGGAAGGAAGGAAGGAAGGAAGGAAGGAAGGGAGGAAAAGGAAGAAGGGAGGGAGGGAGGGAGGGAGGGAGGGAGGGAAGGAAGGAAGGAAGGAAGGAAGGAAGGAAGGAAGAAGGGAGGGAGGAAGGAAGGAAGGAAGGAAGGAAGGAAGGAAGGGAGGGAGGGAGGAAGGAAGGAAGAAGGGAGGAAGGGAGGGGAGGGAGGGAAGAAGGGAGGGAGGGAGGGAGGAAGGAAGAAGGGAGGAAGGAAGGAAGGAAGGAAGGAAGGAAGGGAGGGAGGGAGGGAGGAAGGAAGAAGGGAGGAAGGGAGGGAGGGAGGGAGGGAAGGAAGGAAGGAGTTAATTCATTCTATTGCAGGGAGGAGAGCGCTCCAGACCGGCTCAGAGTGGCTCCCCAGGGCCATTTCATCTTACTTTTCGAGGGAGGAATTAGACGAGTTGTAGGTGGGGTGATTTTACGGGTAGGATTGTTTTTGTCAATCAGGGGATCGTCTCAGACAGATGAATCCAAACGTGTTTCTCTGTCTAGCCGGTTTTGGGGGGACAGACCGTCCAGCCAGTCCTGTATGAGGTAAAGGGGGAATCCACAGGGTCGGTTCTGGCTTTGTCACAGGTAAGCGAGGTGCGGGCCTCTGTGTCTGCTTGAGGTCTACGGCGGCGAAGAAGGCTCTTTACGCGTAAAGTTAATCATTGCCAGTGTTTTGAGGCCGTTTCAGCCCCTCTCTGAGCCTCCTTCATTTCACCCTCACAATGGGAAGTGGGGGCTCCCAGGTGAGGAGGACTATGCCCCGTTTTTTTTTTTGCAGCCTGGCCTGGGACACGCTGGAGCCCAGAAATGGCTCAGAAGCTCCGGGTCCTGGAGCAGGTAAGGAACTGGGGTGCCCTCGAGGAGCAGGGAAATCAATTTCCCAAGGGGAGGCGAGTCACTTTGTTATTTATGTCCCCCGAGTTCTGAGGTGCAGATTGCAGCCTTTTATTATTTTTTTTTAAATTTTAAATTCATGAGGGAGAGAGAGAGAAACATCTCTTGGTTGCTGCACACACCCTGACTGGGTGGGGATCGAGCCTGCACCCTGGGTATGTACCCTGACCTAGAATCGAACCCGCCACCTGTCGGTCTACGGGATGACACTCCCAGGATGATTGCAGAACCTTCTAGAGTTCCTGGGGCATCAGAAAGCCCTGGATCCCCAGTGAGAACAGCAGTCCCCCAAACTGCAACCCTGGCTGGATATCAACTCCCCCCGACCATCTGGAAATGGGGTGAAAGTTACTGGTGACGGGAGGGGAAATTCCATGGTGCACAGGAGCTTTTCATGCCGGCCTGGCCAGGTTCAAAGTCCTTGAAGATTGCCCTAACTGGTTTGGCTCAGTGGATAGAGCGCCGGCCTGCGAACTCAAGGTCCCGGGTTTGATTCCGGTCAAGGGCATGTACCTGGGTTGTGGGAACATCCCCAGTGGGGAGTGTGCAGGAGGCAGCTGAATCGATGTTTCTCTCTCATCGATGTTTCTAACTCTCTATCCTTCTCCCTTCTTCTCTGTAAAAAAAATCAATGAAATATATTTTTTAAAAATGTGGCAGCTTAGGACTTTCAAAAAAAAAAAGAAAAAAATATATATATATTTAAAGTCCTTGAAGACACGTGCTAAGGACTATAACTCCCAGAAGGACACGTGGGGGCACCGCAGTAATCATTGTCCTGGCTAACTGCTGGTCTCCCCCAAATCTTTTTTTCTAGTTCGAGGAACACCGCCCCTTATATTCCCATGTCCGAAGGTCATCGGGAGCGAGTCCTCAGCCTCTCTCAAGCTCTGGCCACCGAGGCCTCGCAGTGGCACCGAATGATGACAGGTGGGGAGGGCGGGGGCAGGCTGGGGACCTAGGGCTCCGGTTTTAGGGAAGGGGAAGCCTGAGGCCTGGAATCCTAGCTCCTGGTGGGAAGGGATCCAGGGCCCCTGTAAATTCTTTCTCCTGATGAGGATAGAGCTGCACAGCCTTTGGGAGTTCTAGACCCCAGGCAGCAGGGGGTTGGGGCCCGGCGCTCCTGGGTCGGAGGGAAGAAAAGCTGGGGGTCCGGAACCTCGGGCCCCCATTTTGCCCTTCTCACCCCTCCCTCGTCCTCTCCAGGTGGAAACTTGGACTCCGGAGGCGAACCTCTTCCCCCGGTGCCGCCGCCACCGTCAAACCCCAAGCCCCCGCTGCCCTCGCCCCCACGATCTCCTCCGGTGGCCAATGCCCGCTCCCCCGGGTTCTCCCGCCGGGGCAGCGGGCGTGGCGCCGGCCCCGCCTCCTGGGCGCCCACGTGGGACTCGGGGGCGGGCCCTCCCGCCCTGACCCAGGACGAGGGGGCGTGGCCTCTGCGCGTCACTCTGCTGCAGTCCAGCTTCTGACCCCCGGGCGGCAGCCAATAGGAGCGCGAGGGCGTGGCCTGGCGGTCCCCCGCCGGAGACCTGGAGACACCCTGTCTGGTCCGCCCGGGTGGCCCGCAAGGGAGGGGTCTCTATGGGTTTTCCCAGCACTTGTCCAAATCGGGATTAAAACTCTGCATTGTTCGTTAACAGCGTTCTGTCTGGCTGTCTGGGGCTGGGACCCCGGGGACTCTGAAGGGCGGAGCTGGAGGCTGGAATCCGGGGTCCCCGGGGAGGAAAAGGGCAGGGACCTCGGACTTGTTAGGGCTGCAGGAGGAGGGGGGCCGAGGGGTCTGCGGCCGAACTTCCAGGCATCGGGACTTCCTAGCAACGTCCCCTCACCCCCGTCCCTCCCCCCACCCACCGGACTCTGGAGGAGGGAGGGGCTCCGATGTGACCAAGGGAGAGACAGACTGACCGACGCGGGATGCCCACGGGGTCGCGCTATGCCGGGAAGATGGTCCTTGGGGGGGTGGCGGGGGACGCGGCATCGGAGCCGGGATCGTGCGAGCCTTCGGGGAGGGGGTGTCTGGGAGAGGAGCGACCAGGTGGGAGGAAGGAGTCCCGATTCTTTTTTTTTTTTTTAAATATATTTTATTGATTTTTTACAGAGAGGACGGGAGAGAGATAGAGAGTTAGAAACATCGATGAGAGAGAAACATCGATCAGCTGCCTCCTGGGGATGTGCCCGCAACCCAGGTACATGCCCTTGACCGGAATCGAACCTGGGACCTTTCAGTCCACAGGCCGACGCTCTATCCACTGAGCCAAACCGGTTTCGGCCCGATTCTTATCTTATAAAATCCCCTTTGCAAAGGTGAGGAATGCGCCGGCGTGGCATCCATCCTGGAGCCGGGGTTTTTGGCAGGTGCCAAACCCTCACTCCCTTTCTCCGGGTCTCCGTTATTAGGGCTACAAAACAGGTGGCTTGGTGGGGGGTATGTCTCTTGCAGATTTAGAGTTTATCCGGAAGCCAGAAATGGGGGTGGGGGTGGTCTCAGGAACCCCAGCGGGCACTTGGAGTCGCTAAGGAGAATATGTGTCCAGGCCTCTGCCTTTTGTCCTGGGGGGGGTCACCGGGAGACTGGGGTCACCAGGGGCACCGAGTTGGCTGATGGGCCCGCTCCAGGTGGCCACAAGGGGGCAGCAGAGGCCTCAGCAAGGTCTGTGCTGGGGTAACCTTTCTCTCCCCACACACAGTGGGAATGGGGGCCCACGAGCTTACCTGTGACAAAGACAGCGAGTGAGGGTCTCTCAGTCTTCAGCCCCAGCCCCTCCTCCCCGCAGAGTTGGGGGGCCGGGCCCTGTGAGTGACTCAGGAGGAAGGTGTGAGGGTGAGCGTATTTTCTGCCCCCCCTCCCTATGTCCAGTTTCTCTCCCGCTTCATTCTCTTCTAGGCTTTTGCATGTGCTGTTCCCTCTGCCTTTCCCTCTTTGGGCTAAGTTGCTCAGGCCCTGGAGGTTTCAGCTCAGTGTCTTTTCCTCCCAGATTCTGCTGGTGGGTGGTGTCTCCTGGGTGGGTTCTCCCTTTTTTTTTTTTTTTTTTAAATATATTTTTATTGATTTCAGAGAAGAAGGGAGAGGGAGAGAGAGAGAGAAACATCAATGATGAGAGAGAATCATTGATTAGCTGCCTCCTGCAATGCCCCACACTGGGGATCGAGCCCGCAACCTGGGCGTGTGCCCTTGCCCAGAGTCGAATCGTGAGCTCCAGGTTCATAGGCCGATGCCCAACCACGGAGCCACACTGGCCAGGCAATAAAAATATTTCATAAAACAGTAGACAAAACATTGCAGTCGTCATGGGGTTCACACTCTAGACCAGTGATGGCGAACCTTTTGAGCTCGGCGTGTCAGCATTTTGAAAAACCCTAACTTAACTCTGGTGCCGTGTCACATATAGAAATTTTTTGATATTTGCAACCACAGTAAAACGAAGATATATATATATATATATATATATATATTTAAATATATTTCTTTATTGATTTTTTACAGAGAGGAAGGGAGAGGGATAGAGAGTTAGAAACATCGATGAGAGAGAAACATCGATCAGCTGCCTCCTGCACACCCCCCACTGGGTATGTGCCCGCAACCAAGGTACATGCCCTTAACCGGAATCGAACCTGCGACCCTTGAGTCTGAAGGCCGACGCTCTATCCACTGAGCCAAACCGGTCAGGGCGAAGATTTATATTTTTGATATTTATTTTATATATTTAAATGCCATTTAACAAAGAAAAATCAACCAAAAAAATGAGTTCGCGTGTCACCTCTGACACGCGTGTCATAGGTTCGGCATCACTGCTCTAGAGTGTGAATAGAAGGAAATAGACAAGGAGACAGATACAGGTGATCCTCATTATTTTTATTTTTATTTTTTTAAAATATATCTTATTGATTTTTTACAGAGAGGAAGGGAGAGGGATAGAGAGTTAGAAACATCAATGAGAGAGAAACATCGATCAGCTGCCTCCTGCACACCCCCTACTGGGGATGTGCCCGCAACCCAGGTACATGCCTTTGACCGGATTCGAACCTGGGACCCTTCAGTCCGCATGCTGATGCTCTATCCACTGAGCCAAACCGGTTAGGGCATTATTATTATTATTATTTTAATCCTCACTCGAGGATATTTTTTTACTTATTTTAGAGACAGAGGAAGGGGGAGAGAGAGAGAGAGAGAAACATCAACCTCCCTTACGTGCCCCGCCCAGAGATCAAACCCGAAACCCAGGTATGTGCCCCGACTGGGAATCAAACCCACAACCTTTTTGGTGCATTGGACGACACTCAATCAACTGAGCCACCTGGCCAGGAGGCAATTCTCATTACTCACAGATTCCACATTTGCGAATTCCCACTTGCCAAAAAAGTTCTTAAAAAAAAAAAAATATATATATATATATATATATATATATATATATATTCTTATTGATTTCAGAGAGGAAGGGAGTGATAGAAACATCAATTATGAGAGAGAACTATTGGTCGGCTGCCTCCTGCATGGCCCCGCCTGGGGATCAAGCCCGCAACCCAGGCATGTGCCCTTGACTGGAATCGAACCCGGGACCCTTCAGTGTGCAGGCCGATGCTCTATGCACTGAGCCAAACCAGTAGGGCCAAAAAAGTCCTTGTTACCCCAGAATCAGCAGCGCTCATGGTGCGGCTCCAGGTTCCGCGGACATGCGCAGAGCGGCAGGACTTTGAGTTGTCTGTAGTGCTGTTCCCAGCGGAGGTTGAGCAAGAGGACACTTGCCCTGATTTCAGGTGTCAGGCAGAGCAATGCCCGGAGGACAGACAGGAGGGGGTGGCACAGCCAAGGGCTCAGGCTCTGGGGCCGCAGAACGGGTTTGAATCTCAGGGCTGGTGCCTGGGGGAGGGGGGATCAGCCTCAGACAATGTATTTATTTGCAAAATCAACAAAATAGAGTTAACCAGTCTGAGTTGGTTCTAGCTTTAAGATTGTGTACATATACATATACATATATGTACACATACAGGCACCGTCTTAGCCTGTCCTGGCTGCTGTAACAGAAATACCACAGGCTGGGTGACTCACAGAGCAAGCATTTCTCTCTCAGAGTTCTGGAAGCTGGCAAGTCCAGGACCAAGATTCTGTGTGTGGTGAGAGCCGGCTTCTGGCTGTGTCCTCACAGGTGGGCAGGCTGAGGGAGCCTCAGGGGGGATGGGGTTCTTTTCTAGGGCACTAATCCCATTCATGAAGGCCCCACCCTCATGGCCGAATCACCTTCCAAAGCTCTCATCTCCAAACACCATCAATTTAAAGGTTAGGATTTCAGCATATACATTTTTTTTTAATCCTCACCTGAGAATATGTTTATATTGATTTTGAGAGAGACAGAGAAACATCGATGTGAGAGAAAGACATTGATCGGTTGCCTCCTGAACGCACTCTGACTGGGGATCGAGCCTACATCTAGGTATGTGCCCTGATTGGCAATCGAACCCGCTACCCTTCGGTGTATGGGATGATGCTCCAGCCAACCGAGCCACCAGCCAGGGCAACACATGAATTTTTTGAGGGAACAAACATTCAGTCCATAGCAGGTTCATATTATTATATATTAGTGTCCCAGTGCACGGATTTGTGCACATTGAAAGGAAATTAATTAGAAGAAATATTTTAATATCGCTATGCGCCCTTTCTCTATAATAGAAGTGTCGACCAAATTCACGATTAACAATGACAGATCAAAACACACACACGTGACTGGCACCAGTGAGAGCTGTATCGCTTATGTGTGAGTTGACTTAGCCTTTAATGTGTATAGAATAAACTTGCTTCATCTGACCTGCTTTTTGACTTAGCTAAGCTTTTTCCAGCCCAGTGAAGCACCCCAACTTCTCTTTCAGGTAATTGTCAGCAACACAGCAGTAAATATCAACATGAAGCAGATTGTTATTGTAGATCACGCAGGGAGAACAAAGGGTGAAATATTTAACTGCAGCAGGGTTTGACTATATTCTGCGCAGTGAGAAAACCTGAAGTCATTTTCAAGGTCCACCATTTCTTACTTCTTTTCAGTCGGGTCAAGTTTCTAAGCTTTCTAAATCTCCATTTTCCAGCTAATGAAAAGAAAATGGGATTCCACCGAGTCTCCTGTCTACCTACTCCAGGACTTCTGTGAGGATCAAATGAGATGAGGCATGAAACCGCATCACAAACATTTGGTTAAAGTGTAAAATGTTTGCACCTGGCTATAAAGCAAGTCATGTTCCCGGGCTGCAGAAACTCCAAGGAGGCTAGTCGCTAGGGAGAGGAAGCCGGGCGTTGCTATGTGAGGTCATTACCCAGTTCCCACAGCCACCATTTCTGGGCTGGGCTGGGCTGGGCTGTGGGCCACATTTTACGCCATGGGGTCTTGGCAGCGTTGGCTGCGATTTGGTGGGTGTCGCTCTGGGGTGGTGGTGAAGCCTGTGTCCCATTTGGGGGAAGCGGAGTGTTGGTTTGTCGGCACCAGGTCTGCGGTGCCATTTATTCTCAACTGTGGGTCAAAAATGCTATTGTCCTATGCTGTACGCCCCAAACGAATGCAGAGTAATATTGAATGTAAATTGTAATTTTAAAAATTAAAAAGAAGATGTTATTGCCCCAGCTCGTTTGGCTCAGTGGATGGAGCGTCGGCCTGCGGACTGAAGGGTCCCTGGTTCGATTCCCGGTCAAGGGCACATGCCCGGGCTGCAGGCTCGGTCCCCAATGGGGGGCGTGCAGGAGGCAGCCAATCAATGATTCTCTCTCATCATTGATGTTTCCGTCTCTCCCTCTCCCTTCCTCTCTGAAATCAATAAAAATACATTTAAAAAAGAAAAGAAGACGATTTTACTGTTTTCGATCTGCGGTTGGCTGAATCCACAGATACAAAACCCAGATACAGAGGGGCGGCTGTATGTTTATTGAAAAGTGCTGTGTATACGTGGACCGGCGCAGTCAATCATATTTCACAAACCACTGAACCATGGTCTGATCCCCAGAAGGGGGCGTGCAGGAGGCACACTATGTTATTAAGTGTCAGGCACAGATATTGACTTTGACATTTCAAAGCTCACGGCGGGTCATTTTTGTTAGGTAGGAGAGAGCCCAGGTTCGGATGCATGCAGGCATGTGATGAGATAATGGACTTCCCCTGGAATTTCTCACAGATCAAGGTGCCAGACACAGATACCAGCTTCTTCTCCCTGAATTCACATACCCCCACACAGATAAGAACTTCGTCCTGAATATTCCGCCCATTCCCTGCAGCAGAGAATTCCTCAGCTCATGTCCCCGCCCCTCACCCAACCGCAGTATAAAAAAAGCGCCCCCCTCCCTGTTGGCGTGAATCCACGTGCCCTGTCCTTGGGGTACGTGGGTCTCCCGGGGACGCAGAATAAACCTTTTCCTTTCCTTTCTTTTCTGATTCACTGGACTCTATTTCTTGCGCCGCCTCCTGAGCCACCTAACCTAACAATTTTCATTCTGCAGATGCGGAAACGGAGGCACAGAGAGGCAAAGAGACTTGCCCCAAACCACGCAGCCAGGAAATGGCAGGGCTGAGATTCAAACCCAGGCCTCCTGGCCCCGGACACGGCTTTATTTATTCATGGCTGTGCAGCCTCCCTTCTTCTCACCATCACTGACCCTCTCGTCTGCCCGCCGCACCTGGGCCCCCCACTCTCCTCCCCCGCCCTGACTTCCCTCCGCTTCTCCTGTCCACCTGTGCCGGGAGCCGGTCCATCCTTGCTGTTTCAAAGGACCTGGCGTATATGGCATACTGTTCTTAAAATGTTTGCTCACCTTCTTGGCACTATGTGTTTTAACCAAGGTCTCCTCTCTGAGAAAGGTTGTTTCCCCAGGTAGGGATTTCCCCCTGAAGTTAGGGAGGGAATAAAACCCCTCAACTAAGTGCCAGGCGGGTAATTAATCACTTTAACTACGAACAATCATGCTTAAACTACATAATCTTTACTTCCCGGAATGGAGATAAGAAATGCCCTAACCTTTGTAATAGAGATTGATAGGATGGAATCAACTGGTATAAATACAGATGTAACAAGACAGCGAGACACAGAACTTAGAAGACAGAACCAAGAGGCACACCTGCCTCCCTCATTCTCTCCTCTCTCCCCAAACCCCGCCCTTAGACCCCCCTCCGCAGTGGCCTGAGGAGACCTCCGCCCAGGGCTTCTGGCCGCTGCTGGAGCTGAACCTGCCGGGGACGTAGCCTTTACCAAAGGTGCCAGGGAGCCTCCTGACAATGAGATTGCCAAACCCACTGGGAGCGGAATGTTTTCTGTTAAATCTTATTCCCCAGGGCCTCCATCTTGGTAGGAAATAATTAGCGCAAATGCCTACGTCCAGCACCAGCTGCCTGGGTGGGTACAGAACCCAGACTTCGTATGAGCCTTTCAAAGTGGCGCCCTGGTGGGGGCGGGGGCGGGGGGAGGGGTGCCGGAGACCAATGCCAGCATGTCATAATTTTGAGAGTTTCATCAAAAGGTTGATGAAACTTGGGGACTCAACAGGGTTGAGCCACACATGGAGTCACCTGTTGGGAATGGCTAAAGGCATTTCCCCAAACCTGAATAGGAAAGGGATTGTGGCTGCCAGACAGTTAAAGGGCACCTTAGTCTACATGTTATTGCCTCCTGCTGGCCAAACACCTGAGCAGCCGTAGGCTATTCCCCAAACTGACAATGCTCCTGTACCCTTTGAGGTGTATCATCTCCACCTTGCCTTAGGACAAATTAGTAATAAAAGCAAGGGTCCTGGACAAGGAGGGAGTCTTCAGTTCCTTTAGCTGAAGGTCCTCTGACCCCCAATGCCTTTCAAAATTATATCTCGTCTCCGGACGCTTTATTAGTCTCTGGATTCCTATGTCATCTCCGCACAGCCCCTTTTTTCAGATTCCTGAACCCTTCTTGATGCCGGGACATGAACCCCGGCAGAGGGGGATGTTAAGGACATGGGGGAGGGTTGAGACAGGGAGGCAGTGACAGGCAGCTGCAGCTTTGCCACCCAGTCAGTAGTTATGAGGAGCCAAGAGCATGCTTCTCTCAACCTTCCCACACTGCCCCCTGCTTACCAGCTCTGCTCGAAGGTCACCTCCTCCGAAAGGCCTTTCCTGGCCACGCTTGCTTGTGTGGCACTTACACCTCCATACTTATGCTCTGTGATAACAGCGTGTCTATTTCCATCAGAGCACTTTCTCATTCATTCATTCATTCATTCATTCATTCATTCATTCATTCAACAAGCGTTCATTTAGCACCAGCCATGTGCTAAGACATTCCTGCCCAGACATTCTAGCCGCGGGGGACAGACAGCAGGCAAGGAGATACGAAGCGAAGGAAGGAAGGGAGATAATGAGTGAGGGGTACGTGCAAACGCTATTTTATTTTTACGGGGCGTCTTGTTTATTTTTTTATGATGGCATTTCGCAAGTGCACACAAAAGCAGACATCATATGCTGAACCCCACCAGGTATTCACCTGATGCTGACAATGACCAGCATTCTGCCGTTCTTGCTTTCTTGGAGAACCCTCCCGCAACCAAGGTACATGAATGCCCTTGACCGGAATCGAACCTGGGACCCTTCAGTCCGCAGGCCGACGCTCTATCCACTGAGCCACACCGGTCAGGGCGAGGGGTTATTTTAAATTGTGTATTTGTGTGCGTGGGGAAGAGTGGTCCAGCGGAGACACAGCCAGTGCAAAGGCCCTGGGGTGGGACTGCGTGGCGTGCAGAACAGTGAGAGGGGCAGTGGGACTGGAGCAGGATGAGCAAGCAGGAGAGGGTGCAAGGGGAGGGTAGAGTGTGGGCAATGGGACCCAGATTGTATGGGGCCTTGTAAACCAGGGGGAGGGTTTGGCTTTGACAGGGAGTGAGCAGGGAGCCATGGAGGGCTCTGAGCAGAGGGGGTGACCTGCTGTAAGTGGGAACTAGCGCCCTCCTGGTGGCCGCCTGGGGAACAGATTGGGGCGGGTGGGGGGGGTGAAGACTGAGACAGGGGCCTCCGGGGATGGTCCAGGTGGGAGGTGATGTTGGGTCTGACCAGGCTGGTGGTCAGTGGATTTGGTGAGAAGTGGCCTGATTCTGGGTCCATTTTGAAGGCAGAAATGTCAGGTTTTCCTCATAGACTAGATATGGGGGCGAACTCGAGAAAGAAATAAATGGTTGTTGTTTGTTTACCAGGACTGTGTATGTGTGTGTGTGTGTGGGGGGGGCAGATGGGTGGGGGACGTGTGGAGTGGGAATCGTGGGTCTGGGCCGAGGGTCCAGGTCTGGAGCTCACCGGCTTGAGGCTGGAGGAGCTCAGAAAGCAAGTGCAGACAGAGCGGGGAGAGGCCCAGAGAGCGGGCCAGGGGTCAGAGGCGTGGGGAAACCCAGGTGTGACCCGAGATCCAGGTGGAATGTCCCCAACTGGGTCATCCCCTGCCGGGTGAATCCTGGCTCCTGTCCCCAGTTTGTCACCTTCGAAGACTGGCACCTCCCACAATAAGACACACATATGCCACAGCCTGTGAAGGCTTTTATTTGTGTGTGTGGATATATATATATATATATATATATATATATATAGTCCCAAAATTCACGCAAGATTAGAATTTTGCGTGAGCATTAACAACAAAAAATAAATAAAAGCCTAATTTTACTTGGTTTATTGAATCAGATTCTAATATCTGTTGCCCTTTGATTTCAATCCCTTCCATTTGATAAGCATTACCAAGTGCCAATGATGGCCCAGGAGCAGGGGCAATGAAGACCAATGCAGACCACGGCTTTGCGTCCGTGCCAGCAAAGCCGTGGAGGCCGTTTACCCGATGATGTGCTATCCCATACATAACCCTAGACTGTATCCTTGGTGAATCAATACAAAATTTACAATTTTTAATTATAAACCTGTGTTTCCTATCAAAATTACTTCTTGCGTGAATTTTGGGACTATACACACACACACACACACACACACACACACACACACACGTCTGTATGTATTTTTCTCTCATTAGTTGCCAATATTTAAAAAGAGGGTGATTTTCCATAACAACTGGATTTCCGGTTTCTCATGAAAAGTTGATACACTGGGCCCACGGGGCAGGTGACATTCTGCCAAGTGTGGCCTGGCTCTGGGAACCCAGCCCCTGCCTCCCCTGATTGGCTGCCTGACTGTTACCTGTGAGTGGGTGGGAGTAAAGGGTCTAGATCTGCACCACCCCCCCCAAGTTCTCTGCCATTTCCTCCTGGCAGCAGTGGGCAGGTGAATCTCCCTGGGCCTCAACTTTATTATCTGTAAAATGGGGCTAATCATGGTACCTGATTCACAGGGCTGTTCTGAGAACGGAATGAGGTCCAGTGAAACGCCCGCCCGCGGAGCCCGTCGAACGTGCCTGGCTCAGAGCTTGCTGTGTGCAGGTTCTTACTGTTTGTCACCAGCCTTGTCCCACTCTGTTTCTTGTGGCTAATCCACCTCCCTCAGCTGTTTCCTTTTTTGTTCATCTTCAACCGAGGGTATTTTTTCCATTGATTTTTTTTCTTTTTTTTTTTGGAGAGCGTCGAAGGGAAGGGGAGAGACAGAGGGAGAGAGACATCGATGTGAGAGAGACACATCGACTGGTTGCCTCCCACATGGGCCCTGACCAGGGCTGGGGATCAAGCCCGCAGTCAAGCTACGTGCCCTTAACTGGAATCGAACCTGAGATCCTTTCGTTCGTGGGCTGACGCTCTAACCCAGCGGTTCTCAACCTGGGGGTCGCCTAAGACCATCGGAAAACACATATATAATTACATATTGTTTTTGTGATTAATCACTATGCTTTTTTTCTTCTTCTTTTTATTATTATTTTTTATTGTTTTATTGCTTAAAGTATTTATTACATATGTGTCCTTTTTTTTTTTTTCCCAGCCCTTGACAATCCCCTGGCCTCCCCTACCCCCCAGTGTCTTATGCCCATTGGTTATGCTTATATGTATGCATACAAGTCCTTCGGTTGATCTCTTACCTCCCCCCCTCCTGCCCCCCAACCCTCCCCGGCCTTCCCGCTGCAGTTTGACAATCTGTTTGAGGCAGCTCTGCCTCTGTATCTATGATTGTTCATAAGTTTATAACACTATGCTTTAATTATGTTCAATTTGTAACAATGAAATTGGGGGTCACCACAACATGAGGAACTGTATTAAAAGGGTTGCGGCACTAGGAAGGTTGAGAACCACTGCTCTATCCTCTGAGAAAACTGGCTAGGGCCTCAGTTTGAGGTCTCTGCGGTACATGTTGGGCAAATGAAACCTGGGAGAAGTAAAAGGGAAAAGGTGAGATTTGAGCTGGACCTTGAGTGGGAGGAAGGGAAGTGGAGAAATAGGGCACGGAGTGTTTCACTCACTAGGAAAAGCATGTGCAAAGGCCCTGGGGCAGAAACACCTGAGTACCTTCTAAGAACCAGAGAACCAACCCCCCACCTCCATCTCCAGCTTAGCAATTACAAGCACTAAGTTAAATTTGTCCTACCCATTGCCTCTTGTAATCTCCTACCCATGCATCATATAATTTCATCAGTAAGAATTTCATAAATACTACCAGTGGATTACAAAGCTTATTTTTATTGTGAAATAATTTAAAGGTTATAATATATTGCCAGAATAGTACAGAGAACTCCCATATACCCGGACTCTCCTTGTGTATATTTTAGCACATTGGCGTGACTTTTCCGTCTCTCTATTTGAGAGTAAGTTGCAGGTCTGATGTCCATTCATCCCTTAGTACTTGGGAGTGCATTTCCTAAACACAAGAGCAATCCATGAGCTTCACATTGACCCCATGGTCTTAGCTAACCTTCCTATTCAGATTATTAGAATTCTTTTTTTTTAAATACACATTTTTATTGATGTCAGAGAGGAAGGGAGAGGGAGAGAGAGATAGAAACATCAATGATGCAAGAGAATCACGGATCAGCTGCCTCCTGCACGCCCCCCACTGGGGATCAAGCCCACAACCCACACATGTGCCCTGACCGGGGATGGAACCGTGACCTCCTGGTTCATAGGCCGATGCTCAACCACTGAGTCCCGCTGGCTGGGCAGATTATGCGAATTCTTGTCATCACAGGTCCTCGGCCACACTGGATTTAGTTGGGGATCCCCCGGAAGCAGACCCCAGGCGAGGCTGGAGTGCAGGGTGTGTGGGAGGCGACCCCCGGAAGTGCTGCCCTGGGGGTGGGGGTGGGGGTGGAGAGGCAAGGCAGCTGGTGGAGGGCATCACTGAGCAAATTACCACGGGGGCACGTGGGCGCTAGTCCCAAGGAACTCTGGGAGTCAGAGAGAAATGTGCGCCTCACAGTCATCCCCACCCAAGAGGTGGGGGAGAGCCAATGGCTGTAATTTCAAAATACTTTCAACTTTATGTTAAAAATGAAAATTAAGACTTTTTTTAAAAAACATAAAAACTGGCATTCGGCCTTCTAAGAAATTTAATGGTAATTTTTTACTACTGCTGCTACTGAATACCCAAGCCCGATCTGAACTCACCCCATTGTCCCCAAATGTCTTATTACAGTTGGTTTGTTCACGCCAAGCTCCGGACGCGGTCCACGCATTACATCTGGTTTCCTGGAGGGCAAGACTCCTGTCTCTTGTTCACGCCTCCATCCCAGCACCTGAATCTGTGCCTGGCCCTAGCCGGTTGGCTCAGTGGGTAGAGCATCGGCCTGCGGACCACAGAGTCCCGGGTCCGAGTCCGGTCAAGGGCACGCACCTTGGCTGCAGGCTCCTCCCCAGCCCCGGCCCTGACAGGGCTCGTTCAGGAGGCAACCCATCGATGTGTGAGGATGTTTCTGTCTTTCCCTCTCTCTTCCGCTCTCCCTAAAAACCAATGGAAAAATAGCCTCAGGTGAGGATTCACAACAACAACAAAAATAGAAAAGTAATAAATAAAACATTTAAAATTATTAGCAAAAAGATAAAAAACTGTGCCTGTTGCCAGGAGATATGTCAAAATGAGCAAGTTACTGCCGTTATCACTATCACCATTATCATCACCCTCACCACCACCAGCCCTATTATCATCATCTTCACCATCATCACCATCGATATAACCATCATCATCACTTCCATCACCGTCATCATCATCTTCACCATCATCATGGCCATCATCACCATCATAGTCTTCATCACCATCAACATCGTTATCACCACCACCATCACCAACAATATCCCTTGGAAGCTCTTGAAATGTTGACTCTTGGGCCTGAGCCCAGACCTCCTAAATCTGCATCGTTGGCCTCCCTGGTGGATTCCGACACAAGCAGAGTTGGGGATTCCCTTGGCTAGTGAACATGGTGGAGGAATTAGGGGGTCTCTCTACGCCCAAGGACACGAGATCTTGCAGGCAGCAAGGATCCGAAGAAGGTGTTTGAGGAAAGGAGTGTCCCCCGTAGACTCTCAGAGCTGGGTTGGTTTGTATTGATCAACTAGAGGCCCAGTGCACGGATTTATGCACCGCTGGGGTCCCTCAGCCTGGCCTGCACCCTCTTGCAATCCGGGACCCCTTGGGGGATGTCGGAGAGCCGGTTTCAGCCCGATCCTCACAGGCCGGGCCGAGGGACCCCACCGGCGCACGAATCTGTGCACAAGGCCTCTAGTATGCATATAAGATCTTTGGTTAATCTCTTCCTGTCCTCCCCCTCCTTCCTTTCCTCTGAGATTCATCAGCCCGTTGCATGTTTCCATGCCTGTGCGTTGAGCGTCTGCCCCCCGGTGGTCATTATGCATCATAGCTACTGGCCGGTTGCTTAGGCTTTTATATATATAGATACATAGACCTGGGTGGGTGTCAGGCAGTATTCTAGGTGCCAGGGATTCACCACATGGTCTTTGCCCTTGGGGCAGTCATAGCTGTGGGGCAGCCAGGAGTTATTCGATCAATGCAGATGTGAGCTTATGGGGGGTGTTTTGTGCCAAATGCGTGTGGTTCTGGGAGATGTGTGACAGGGAGGCTGGCTTGTTTGGGGGATCAGGGTGGGCTTCCTGGAGGAAGCAAATGACGAGCAGCGTTAGCTAGAGGGGTGGTGAAGGGGGCGCTTCAGATCAAGTGTCCAAAGGGCGGGGAGGGGAGGGAGAGTGCGGCGGGTCCTGGATGGAGCCGCACAGAGGTGCGGGTGCGAGTGCTCCTGGCAGAGGGAACAGCCGGTGCAAAGGCCTGGCAGCGAGAGAGGGTTTGGTGCCGTTGAGGGGCTGAGTGGAGGGGGGAAGGGGTGGCCCAGGGAAGGGTTGAGGGGGCAGGTCACATGGGGCCTTGAGGGCCATGCCAGGTCTTTATCTCAAGAGCACTCGGGAGCCATGGAAGGGATCTGAGCAAGAAAGCTCCCAGGCAGAGCTGGGAGAGTGAGAAGGACCCAGGACCCCCAACATTAGAGGAAACGGAGTCTGGCCAGAGCGAGGCCTCGGCATCGGGGAAAGCCGGCTCCCGTGGGGTGTTGAAGGGAGAGAGGGGGGTCAGGCCAATGAGTCCAGCAGGTCCTTGATGTAGTTCCCAGGTGACCTTGGGCGGGGGGGCAGGGAGGACGTGGCCAGGAATGTGTGAGAGGCTGGGAAGGGAACGCGGGACAAACAGTGCTTGGTGGCAGCTGTGTCCCCGGTGCTGGGGAGAGGGTGACAAATGAACCGTGTCTCCGCCCTCATAGGCCTCAGGCTCGCAGGGTGGTGGTGGGGAGGGAGTTAGGTAGCTGGATCGAGGAGAGAAATATGGCTGGAGCAGGGCCAGGGGTGGGGGCTGGGCGAGCCCCCCCCCAGCCTGAGAGAGGGAGGGTTTCCAGGCTGATGAGTGAGGGGGAGGAGAAGATGAAGGCGGGGGGGGGGCGGGTTCCTGGGGGAGAGGCTGGAGGATTAGAATTCCACCCACCCCCAAGGCCCACACACGCACGCTGTACCCTAAGGTTCTTATCCTGGAGCTGTCAGAAATTCTTACGCGGTTATCGTTTTGGTCTCGGGCTGCTTGGCCGGTCAGGTGTCACGTGACCCTCTGTGTGCATCACTCACCCTTCGGTTCCTAAGTGAGCTAACCTGCATAAACTGCGGAAACTGGGGCCAGGCACAGAATAGATCCTCAATGAATCCATTCCCTTATTCAAAGGGTATTTATTGAGCACCTATTATGTGCCAGACACCTTAGGACTGGGGATGTAGCAAAATAAGAATCTCAGCGGTCCCCTTGTGGGTCTTTGCATTCTGGTGGGAGAGACAGACAATAAGCAAATACGTAAGTCAAATAGAGATGGCACGTCAGAAGGGCACGAGTGCCACGGAGGAGAGGAACCAGGAACGGATGGGGACCCAGGGGATGGGCAGGCCAGGGAAGGAAGGCCCCACTGAGAAGGTGACATGTGAACAGGATGTGAAGTTGCTGAGGGAGTAGGTTTGCCCAGGACGGTCCCACTTTAGCACTGAAACTGTGGGCTGAAGGCCCCTTGTCCCCTGAAACCCTTCGGTCCCGGCCACACTGGGGTGGCTGTTCACCTAGGAGTGAGTCGCGTGGCTATCTGAGGGAACAGCCGTGCAAAGGCCCTGAGGTTGGCACACTCAGGACGCATATGCAGACGCAGCACTGGGCGGTGGGGGCTGTTTGTGAGAGTAAAGGAGGTCTGAACGAGCTGGGGGGTGACCCTGCGAGGGAGCCAGTGCAGGCCCCCACCCTGTGAACCCCTGCGGGGGCTGCTTGTACATGCAAATAGGCAGTGGCAGGGACAGGCTTGCCTGGCCAGGTCAGCTGCCCAAAGCAAACAAGGGGAGGGGCAGAAGTTGAGTTTCTTCAAGGTCATGGCTGGTGAAAGAACGGAGACAGAGAGGAAGGCAGGGAGAGGGGGAGGGCAAGGGAGAGAGAGAGCGGGGAGAGAGTTAGTTTAGGGACCTCCAGGTAGCCAGGGAGTTTTAGGGGAGAAGTTGGCAGGATAGAGGTGCATTTCACGGAGGCCTCCCCGCCACATTCTGACCACGGAGCTCTCCCTGAAACACTGTCCTTCCCTCCACGGATAACAGAGCTTCCTCCTATTTTTGCAAACAATGCAGCTGTGTTGCATGATTCTGTCTTGATATGGACAGGAGTTTGAGTAACAAACAAAGACCTAGCGAGAGGGATACAGGGACCCAGCGAGGTGGGGGAGAGACGGGGGAAGGACGTAAGGTGTAAGGTGGGCTGGAGGTCGGATGCTGTCCCTCTGAGGCACCCAGGTCACCTAGTGAGCATGCCAGGGAGATGGCCATTGTCCCAGACATCGGGGTGTGTTTCCGGGGGCTGGGGGAGATCCAGGGCCTGGGGAGGCTTACCCTCCCCCACCTGTGGAAGGGTATGTGTGTGCCATCAACATCTCCAGCCTGATGGGGGCAACTGGCTAGTCCCAGGCAGTTCTCTATGTGGCCACCACGGTAGGCCTTCAGGGTTCCCTGCTGTGTCCTTCCCTCCCTAGGGGCTCAGACCTGAGGCATAAAAACCTGTGATGTGCCCCGACCCCCTGGCCAGTGTGGCTCAGGGGGCGCCATCCTGTCCACCAAAAGGTTGCCAGTTCAATTCCCGGTCCGGACAAATGCCTGGGTTTCTGGCTAGATCCCTGGTAGGGGGTGTGCGGGAGGCAGCAAGGCCTTGCCCTGGGTGGGAGTCAACTGGTGAGCAGCTCCCGTGGACTGAGAGCCTGGGGGGTGCAGGGGGGGAGGAAGATGCAGTGAGCCCGAGAAGCAGTGTCTGCGGCAGACCAACCTGCTTCTCTCCTCCCTTCCCCAGGGTCTCCCCAGGAAACATCTGGACCCCACCGTGGAAGGAGCTGGCAGCCCCAACACCTGACCCGGAAGCCACAGTCTGAGAGGGTGCAATGGCCCAGGTGGGCGTGGGAGCCAGGACCAGGTGGTGTGGTGCGTGGGCTCCAGGTGAGGGCTCCTCATGACCTCCTTTCCACCCTCATCTCTCCCCAGCCCCTGGCCCCAGAAGGCAGCTTCTGCACCGGATCTGGTGACCCGGGGTGCCGCGCTGGGGTGCGGGTGCCAGGCCAGGCGGGGCTCCCCCGTGGAGGCCCCTGCCACCCCTTCCTGATTTGCCACATTTGCGCGTGGGCTTCCCTGCCGAGGACTCTCCCTCTCCAAACTCCGTCTCCCACGTTCAGGTTGCTGCGCGCTACCTCTGGGGTGCCACCCCCAACTCCACCAACGCGCCAATCCACACCCCACAGGTCCCCACAAAAGCAACGGGCAGCCAGAAGGAGGGGGGCATCGTTGCATTTATTTTCCGTCCTTTTTGAGTCCTGCCACACTGCCCCCCGTCCCCGCTACCCCAGCGCTGGAGCAGCCTGGACCCCAGGGACTGCAACTCCCAGCAGACCTTGCGGCAGGAGCCTCACGCCCGGGGCTCCGGGGAGAAGTTGCAGGGCGGTTTCGCCAGGGGCCCAGTTAAGAGGTCCGCAGGGGGCAGGAAATTAAGTTCTAATTAGGAGATCACGCGGGAGGGGAGCCAAGGGCCTCCCCTTTGTTCTAGGCCCTAAGGGGAGCGGGGTTTGGACCTCGCTGCCCCGCGGAGCAGGAAGATCTGCGGGGAGAGGAGGCTGGGGGTTGAGACTCCTGGTTTGGGAGGAGAGAAAAGGGGCGGGTAGGAAACTGGGGCTCGCGGCCCCTCTGCGTAGGAGGGCTGACCCCCGGCTGCCCCCGCGGGGCGCAGGGCCCAGGCGGGGGTTGCACCCCAGGTGGGGTGGGGGTAGGGGTGGAGCTGCAGGGCCGCCGGGGATTGGCTGCTGCAGGGGGGTGTGCGGCGAGCTCCGATTGGCAGGGGCGGGGCCGGGCAGCCTGGCGGGCACCACACCCCTGCAGCCGCAGGCGCGGTGGCGAGGCGGGAGGAACGCTCGGAATTCGCCGGGGTCCCCGGCTGTTAGGGCCGGGGCACAGCATTTGGGGGGAGAGGGGGAGGGGGAGGATGACCCAGAGCAGAATCACGGGGGCAGCGAGGCTCAGGGCCGGAGTTTGAGGTCACGCTAACCTGGATGCAGGAGTTGGGGCGCTCTGACCCCAGGAGGTTTGGGCGGCACAGTGACGCAAGAGCCATGGGCTGCCTCCGCCTCTGGGCCCTGAAGTTGGGGAGACTCAGGAAGGGGCGTAACCAGGAAATCCTGCCCTGGGACCCAGGCTTAGAGGCTCATTGATAAGTTGGGGGAGTGGAAACTTCCCGGCCCCACCGGTGAAGGGGGCTGCAAGGAGGCACGGCGGCCCGCGTGCGTCTTTACCGCCTAAGAAGCTACAAAGAATACACACGTTCTCGCTGGAAAGAAAAACTATATGCAAACAGGGCTGGGGACCCCCCCTCCCCCCCCCCCCCCCGGCCCCCGGCCCTGCCCGCCGCCCTCTTCGGAGGCCTCTCCCCGGAGCCTGTTCCCTTTTCATCCACGTGACCTGCACGGCGCACGGGTCCAAGTTAGGGATGGAGACGCGCGGGGGTCCCGGCCTCCCCCCCTCTTACCTCGGGCTCCGCGGCAGGAGCGACCGAAATGCATTTTTGGCCGCGAGCAGCCTGGATGCGGCTGCAACCGACCCCGGTGGGGGCGGGGCGGGGGTTTGGACCGACTCCCCGCGCCCGGGGCGCATGCGCGCTGCGGCGGGCCGGGCTCCCCGCGGGCGCCGGGCGAGGATGGGCGCCGGTGGGAGGGGGCGTGGACCGGGCGGGGCCGCGACGTCCTCTGCGGGGCGGGCGCAGTTACCCGCCGCAACGACGATGGCGGCAGCCGCGCTGGGGCAGGTGGGTGCGGGGGGCGCCGCGCTCGGGGCTGGCGGAGCCCGCGGGAGGCGCGCTTCCCCGAGGACCTCTCGCCCGCAGCCCGCCCGCTGGGCGCCGTCCCTCCGGCTCCCGGGGGCCGCTGCGAGGCGCCGAGGAGGAGGAGGAGGAGGAGGAGGGGGCCCCATTGGAAAGGAATGCGGAGCTTTAGGGGCGATGGGGGGCTTCATTGGCGGGCTGGAGACCCGGACCGGGGTCTGGGAAGGAGCGGGGGACAGTCACGGGAGAGGCGCGGGGCTGGGTGGGGATTGAGACGGGACTAGCGAGCGGGTGAGGGTAGCGGGATAGGGGCTCCCGGGATCTGTAGGGGAGGGGGGTAGGATGAAGGCGCGGAATTCATCCTCAGGTCTGGTCTTGTTGGAACTAAAGGTTAAGAGAGATGTGGGCAGCTGGGGCCCCCCCCGGAACCCCTTATCTGGGCTCCCCACCTGGCTTGGAAATCGAGGCAGTGGCGCCTTGTCAGAGCGACAGGGCTACTCCGGGCAAGACTGAGATAGTCCGTTCTTGCCAAGATGCTAACCGGCGGCGTTCCGCAAAGCCTGTGATTTGGGAAAGGAAACAGTAACAAGTGTAGGAAGGAGGGGGGCCAGGGGGGGGGCCATTGCCACCCGCCAGCTACAGCATAACCTTGGAGACGTGTTTCCTGCTAACGTTGCACCTGACCCGGTCTCTGAGCCCAGCTGGATGGATGGCGGGCAGGGCAGGTGTGTCCTCCCGGGGAGCCTCAGTGGCCGGCGGAGACAGGCCTGGGCTAGGGTTGGGGCGCCCTGGGGAACCGTGGTGGGACCGACAGGGACAGCCTGGGCCTGGGCTGTGCAGAGTCTTGGGCTGTCAGGCCCGTTCTGGTCCGGGATGGGGGTGTCCTGGGCTCTATGGTGGGGACGCCCTGCTGTGACTTGGGGGCAGGCCTGCGTGTGAAAGACAGTGCTGGGCTAGTTCAGAGACCACCCGGGACTCTGGTGGTGACTCACCTGGGCCATGTGGTGGGGGCAGCCCTGGATGGTGGTGGGGGCAGTCCCGGCCGAAATGAGACCCGGCGAAGGCTGCATGATGTTACAGAGCCCTGCCCTGTGCACGCTGCCCCTCCCCCCTGATGCCCCTCCCCCCTGACCTTCCTCATTTCTTTTTTTTTTTTTAAATATATTTTATTGATTTTTTACAGAGAAGAAGGGAGAGGGAATAGAGAGTTAGAAACATCCATCAGCTGCCTCCCGCACACCCCCTACTGGGGATGTGCCCACAACCAAGGTACATGCCCTTGGCCGGAATCGAACCGGGGACCCTTCAGTCCGCAGGCCCACGCTCTATCCACTGAGCCAAACCGGCTAGGGCCCTTCCTCATTCCTGAATTCAGCCCCCATACGTTCACACTTGTCCCAAACGCCCATCTACCACCCGAGAGTCTCCTTTAGGCCCAATCCCTGTGGCTTGGGGTGCCAGAGGGTGGGGCACCTTCTCTGAGCAGAGGTGCGACTACCACCCCGCGAGAATGCACCCTCCCTGCCCGGTGGGTGTGTCTTTCTGCCCCGTGTATCGCTCTCTCCTGGATGGTCTGTCTCTAAGCGTCATGGAGATGGTGTCTCTCCAGGTCGTGGCATCATCCCGTCCCTCTCAGGCAGCCCTTCCTCATCTCTAGGGTCTCCCTTTCACTGTGTGCTCCGTTGCTGAAGTCTGGGCTTCACGGATTTCCCTTTTCCTCTTCTCTCTGTCGTGGCCTCTCTGTATTCCACTCAGTATTTCTCCTGATTTCTCAGGCTCTACTTTCCCTGAGTTTCTCTCCCTCTTGTCTCTCTCTCTCTCTCTCTCTCTCTCTCTCTCTCTCTCTCTCTCCCCCCCCCCTCTCCAATCTGTTTTGGCATCTCTTGGTCTTGTTTTCTGTTTGTGTGTTTTCTATTTCTCTGTCTGTTTTTCTCATTCTTGCTCTTCCCTCTCTTTTCTTAATTTTTAAATTATTTTATTACTATTTTTTATTTCTCCTTCTCTTTTTAAGAAAAATATATTTTTATTATTTCAGAGAGGAAGGGGGAGGGAGATAGAAACATCAGTGAGAATCATTGATCAGCTGCCTCCTGCACGCCCCCTACTGGGTATCGGGCCCGCAACCCCGGACATGTGCCCTGAGCGGGAATCGAACCCTGACCTCCTGGTGCATAGGTTGCCGCTTAACCCCTGAGCCATACCGGCCAGGCACTCTCCCTTCTCATACTCTCTTATTCTTTTTTCCATTTTGGTTCCCCTCTGTCTCTTTTTCTCCTCCTTTTCTTTCCTTTTTTATTTAAAAAATATTTTTATTGATTTCAGAAAGAAAGGGAGAGGGAGAGAGAGACAGAAACATCAATGGTGAGAGAGAATCATTGATTGGCTGCCTCCTGCACGCCCCCTACTGAGGATCGCGCCTGCAACTCAGGCATGTGCCCTTGACCGGAATCAAACCTGGGACCTTTCAGTCCGCAGGCCGATGCTCTGTCCACTGAGCCAAACCGGGCAGGGCTCTTCTTCTCCTTCTTGAGCTTCGCTCTCTTGCTCTCTTTTATTTCCATTTCTGCGCCCTCTGAGGGCTGCCTCTGCCCTGTGTGTTCAGACTCCGTACTGTGGGTGTCCTGTTCCCTCCTGGACCGAAGCATGGCCACAGGCTTATGCCGGCCACACATCGCCACCTAGCGGCCACGTGTGGGAGCAACACCCTGAGCCTGCCAGAAGCCGGTGCCCCACGCCATCCAGGCTACTCCTCTGACTTCATGGCCCAGACTGTCCCTCATGGAAGCCCCGCGGCCCCCTCTGCCCATGACTCACCTGCGGACCAGTCGCGGCCGCCATTCACATCCCTTCTCATTGCTTGGCGTCAGCTCACCCAGCTCACGGGGCAGGAGCAGGGGAGGCTGTGGTCTCCCCGAGCCTCATGACCCAGCTGCCTTCCCACTGGGCTGGAGAAAGAGGCGTTGTGAGGCCCAAGGACACTGGGCAGAGGCCACCCTGCTGGGCACAGCCAGACCTGCGCTCCCCTGCTGCCTCGGGCAGGACCACAGGGAAGTGTTCATCTGGACAGTGTCGATGGCTGACTGGGGTGGCCTCCACGTCCGCATGGCTGCCCCTCAGCCCTGGGATCTGAAGGGAATTGGAATCACTGGTGTCCAAAGCGTGGGGCTGGGGGCTTCAAATAATCTGAATTCGGTGGGTCTAATACCCTGAACGAATATGGACTGGGACTCCTGGGTCTGAGGGAGGAGGGGCTGGGGGGCCTGGACTCCTGGGTCTGAGGGAGGAGGGGCTGGGGGGCCTGGACTCCTGAGTCTGAGGGAGGAGGAAGCTGGGGGCCTGGACTCCTGGGTCCAAAGGAGGAGGGAGTCAAGGGCCTGGGGCTGGAGACCTGGCCCTGGATCTGAAGGAAGAGGGAGCTGGGGGCCTGGACTCCTGGGTCGGAGGGAGGTGGGGGTGTAGATCCTGGGTTCTGGGGGAGCATGACCTTAGGTCCCCCACTCTTATCGGGATTTGGGTCCCCCGGCGAGGCCCTCGCTTACCTGTGTACTTTCCCTTGTCGTCTTCTGTCTGAACTGGTCTCAGGGCTGGGGCCAAAGTTCCCTGGGGTGGGAGGTGCCTACGTTTGACTTTGCCCAGCATGGAGGAGGGAATGGGAGCTGATTCAGCTCTTTCTAGGGGTGGCCCTCCTAGGGCCAGGGAGGGACTTGGCCTCTTTCAGGAGCCCCTCCTGCTACCTGCTGGTCAGGGCAGAGCCAGACTTGGCCAGGCCACACGGCCCGTTAGAGAGCCCCGGACCTGGAAAGAACAGGTCAGGGGGGCCTCCCAAGCGAAGGAGGCAGCAAAGGACTGCCCTCCCTCTGTCCTGCCTCACCACCTTCCTTCTGTCCCCACCCCCAGGTTTGGGCCCGAAAACTTCTCACTGCCCCTTGGCTTCTGGGTGGCCCCAGAAGATATGCCTCCTCCAGCTTCAAGGTAAAAGGAAGGATCCCAAGGCAGAGGGGCTGGGGCCTGAACGGCTGGGTCCGAGGCAGGAGGGGGCTGAAGGTGGGATTCGGGAATCTCCGAAAGGTCCAGGGTTCAAAGGTCAAGGTGGGCAGCAATGGGCTAGACCAGCCGTGGGCAAACTACGGCCCGCGGGCCAGATCCGGCCCATTTGAAATGAATAAAACTAAAAAAAAAAAAAAAAAAAAGACCGTACCCTTTTATGTAATGATGTTTACTTTGAATTTATATTAGTTCACACAAACACTCCATCCATGCTTTTGTTCCGGCCCTCCGGTCCAGTTTAAGAACCCATGTGGCCCTCGAGTCAAAAAGTTTGCCCACCCCTGGCTAGCCTGATTGCCTGCCACCAGGCTGTGGGAAAGAGTTGAAACTGCACGTCCCAGAAGCCTCTGGGGCCACAGGACCCTCTTCTGTCTGGGTCTTAGCCCCAGAGGTTCATGGGAGTTGTAGTTTCCCCCCCTAGTTTGCAGGTTGTGGCCGATTGCAGGACACCCAGGTCCCCTTTCTTTTCTCAGGCTGCGGACCTGCAGCTGGAAATGACACAGAAGCCTCATAAGAAGCCTGGCCCCAACGAGACCCTGGTGTTCGGGAAGACCTTCACCGACCACATGCTGATGGTGGAGTGGTCCGAGAAGAAGGGCTGGAGCCACCCCAGAATCCAGCCCTTCCAGAGCCTCACGCTGCACCCGGCCTGCTCCGCGCTCCACTACTCGCTGCAGGTGGCATGGCCGCCGGCCTCTGTCCCCGTCGCTCTCTGCTCTCTCATCTCTTCCCTCCCGCTGTGTCTGCTTCTTGTCTCCTCTTTCCGCGTCTCCATCGTCTGCTCTCTGAGGCTCCCCATGTTCCAGGCCCTGTGCTGGCTGATGCTGAGGTTCCCCAAGATGAGCAGATCCAGTTCCTTCCCTTGAAAACCCCACCATTTGCCCCTGGCCAGTTTGGCTCAGTGGCTAGGGCATCGGTGGGTTCGATTCCGGTCAAGGGCACGAACCTCGGTTGCAGGCTCGATCCCCGGCCCCAGTCGGGCGCATGTGAGAGGCAACCCTTCAATGTGTCTCTCTCACACTGATGTTTTTCTCTCTCTGTCTCTCCCCCTCCCTTCCCCTCTTGCTAAAAAATCAATGGAAAATTATCCTCAAGTGAGAACTAAAAAAAAAAAAAAAAGGCCCACGATTTGGTTACAAGCTAGTGCGGCCTGAGCCCCGATGGAGGCGGCCAACGCGCTGCGGGAAGCCAGAGGAGGGACCCAGTTCTGCCTCTAACTTGAAAGAAAGTGGGGTAATAGAGGGAGAGGGGACAGCCAGTACAGAGACACGGTGCAAAGAAGAGCCCGGCATCTTTGGGGGATTGCGGGACGGGAGTGCGGGGCACCGGCCGAGGAGGCCTCAGGGCCGCAGAGAGGCTGAGTGGCTGGGACTGCGTCGAGGCGCTGGGAGCCATGGGCACTGAGCAGGCACGGAGCAGGGCCAGCGCTGGGTACCGGGAGGCCCCGCTCAGGCCATGTGGAGGGTGAGGTGGGGCGGGAGGCTGGAGGCCCGGAGGCCAGGCTGGGGCAAAGGCCCAGGTGAGGAGGCCCGCGCTGGGGCTGGAGCTGGGCCCTCGACAGGAGGGACCTGAGGGGTTGCAGGCTGGACGAGGGGAGAGCGGAGGGCTGAGGATGGCGCCCAGCGGTTTGGCTGGGGACCAGGAGGTCCGTGGACGGTGAGCATATGGGGACTCAGGAGGCGGGTCGGCTCTGCAGGGCCGGCGAGGGCCTGTGAGGAGAGAGCCAGGGCGTTTGGCTCGCGACTTAAAGCTCTGGCTGAGCCCACGGCCTTCCTGTGGAGACGTTAGCTGTGAGGGGACTTGAATGGACATATTACAGTTTTAGTCGCTGGTCTGTCGTTTGAGTAATTTCTGTTCCTTTGGAGATGGTTCTGTGGCATGAGGTATGCTTTTAAGAATTGTGAGGGCTGCCCTGGCCGGTTTGGCTCAGTGGATAGAGCGTCGGCCTGCAGACTGAAGGGTCCCGGGTTCGATTCCAGTTAAGGGCGTGTACCTTGGTTGCGGGCACATCTCCAGTGGGAGGTGTGCAGGAGGCAGCCGATCGGTGTTTCTCTCTCATCGATGTTTCTGGCTCTCTATCCCTCTCCCTTCCTCTCTGTAAAAAAATCAATAAAATATATTTAAAAAAAAAAAAGAATTTTGAGGGCTTCTCCCCCCTCTCCCCTCCCGTCTGGACGTTTGACTAGACCCAGCCAGCTCTGTGCAGAGGAGGCAGGCCGTCGGTGGCAGTTGGGAACTAAGGCTGGACAGGGGGGATTTTGACCACAGGGAGGTGCTCTCTGGAAACCACCATCTATTTACCTCTCTGTCTGCCGGCCGGGGACCCAGCACTCACTCCGGCAGCTGAGGGAGTGCCAATGAAAGGGTTTGGAGGCCCCGGCACACAAAACATACACTTTTGTGTTTGTTTGTTTGTTTTTAAGATTTTTAATTGATTTTTAGAGAGAGAGGAAGGGAGAGGGGAGAGAGAGAGAAACACTGATGTGAGAGTGAAGCATCCATGGGCTGCCTTCTGCACGCCCCCTACCAGGGATCAAGCCTGAAACCCGGGCATGTGCCCTGACCGGGAATAGAACCAGCGACCTGTCATGGCACGGTGCCCAACCCACTGAGCCGCACTGGCCAGGACCAAAACATAGGCTTTCTATGATCCCTCTCGTTTAAAGCATGTGAGGAGCCCAGGGCCGGGGAAAACCCCTTTCCTGTGTCGTCTTCACACTGGGCCTGTGTGGAATAACAAATGGACCACCTGTATTGTTGTTTTATTGTTGTTGTTGTTGTAATAATACTCACCCAGAATAATACATATAACACCTGCTTCCTGTCCTTATCCCCCCCCTTACTTAAAATTTTTGAATTTTATTTGGAGTGTTTTTATTTATTTATATATATATATATATATATTTTTTAATATATCTTTATTGATTTCAGAGAGGAAGGGAGAGGGAAAGAGAGAGATAGAAACATCAATGATGAGAGAGAATCGTGAATCGGCTGCCTCCTGCACGTCCCCCACTGGGGATCAAGCCCGCAATGCAGGCATGTGCCCTTGACCAGAATCGAACCCGGGACCCTTCAGTCTGCAGGCCGACGCTCTATCCACTGAGCCAAACCAGTTAGGGCTGGGGTGTTTTTAAATTAAAATGTGTTTTTAAAAAATGGTCATATATTCACCCAGTTCAGGATTCTAAGTGTGAAAGAGGGAACATACCTCCCCAGCCCCCAGCCCCCCAGCTGCCCTCCCGCAGCGGCCCCCACACCTCTCCCCAGTCCGCCCGCGCTCTGCTTTCTGGGTAGCAACACCGATGTGTGTACTTGTTCCCATTCTTTTCACACAAAAGGAAGCCGACGTCATACTCACTGGGGGGCATCGTGCCTTCTTTAAAATGTATTTATTGATGGTAGAGAGAGAGAGAAACATCAATTTGTTGTTCCACTTATTCATGCATTCATTGGTTGATTCTTTGATTCTGGTCTGTGTTCTGACCGGGGATCGAACCCACAATCTTTTGGTGTAAAGGACGATGCTTGAATGAACTGAGCCACCTGGCCAGGCCAACGTGTTTTGTTTTGTTTTTTAAGTGTATTTAAAAAGTATTTCTATTATGGGAAACTTCAAACGTAAAAGTAGAGCCATAGTGCGGAAACCGGTTTGGCTCAGTGGATGGAGCGTCGGCCTGCGGACTGAAAGGTCCCAGGTTCGGTTCCGGTCAAGGGCATGTACCTGGGTTGCGGGCACATCCCCAGTAGCAGGTGTGCAGGAGGCAGCTGATCGATGTTTCTCTCTCATCGATGTTTCTAACTCTCTATCCCTTTCCCTTCCTCTCTGTAAAAAAATCAATAAAATATATTAAAAAAAAAAAAAAAAGTAGAGCCATAGGACCTGTCCCCTTCCCCCCCCCCCACCCCCGCCCCCCATCACCCTGCTTCACCAGTTAGCATGGCTGGTCACCGTCTTTTTTGTTAAATATATATTATTGATTTTTTACAGAGAGGAAGGGAGAGAGATAGAGAGTTAGAAACATCGATGAGAGAGAAACATCGATCAGCTGCCTCCTGCACACCCCCCACTGGGGATATGCCCGCAACCAAGGTACATGCCCTTGACCGGAACCGAACCTGGGACCCTTCAGTCCACAGGCCGACGCTCTACCCGCTGACCCACACCGGCCAGGGCTGGTCTCCCTTTTGCTTTCTCGAGTGTCTCTGTGTCTCGTCCCTCGGGGTCTCTGTCCCCCCGCCCCCCGTTCGCTGGGGTATTTGCCTGAGCCGCGCCCCTGTCCCCGCAGCTCTTCGAGGGCATGAAGGCGTTCAAGGGCGGCGACCGGCAGGTGCGCCTCTTCCGGCCCTGGCTCAACATGGACCGCATGCTGCGCTCGGCCCTGCGCCTCTGCCTGCCGGTGAGGCCCGGGGGGCGGGCGGGGAGGGCGCGGGCCGGGGGGCCGCGGGCCCTGACGCGTGGGAATCCCGCGCAGAGTTTCGACAAGGCCGAGCTGCTCGAGTGCATCCGCCGCCTCGTGGAAGTGGACAAGGACTGGG